TATCTTACTAAAAAATAAAACTATTTCATTACAATAAAAAGAAACACATTATTGCGGTTAAACATCACAGTAAAAGTTGAAAATGTTGTGCAATCCTTTCGTCAATACCCATTATTCAATTTCATTTTGGAACAGGACTGCTGAGGAAATCTTGTGAAAGATGTTTGCAGATTCTGCTCAAGTCGTATCAAATCATCGACAACTTCCTCAGATACTGAAGGTCTTTCAGGAGACTTTCCTTTGTTGACGCTGCCAGTTCGAACAAATCTGTTGTATTAATGTTTGTGTTTTTTTTTATTAGGTTGGCAAGATATTTAAAATTTCATGATAGCATACCTGATGTCAAATTCAAATTTTGGGCAGCAATTCAGCAGCTGCCATCTTCTCATTGACAACTGTGAACTGTTATTTTTTTATTTAATAGCAATGAATATAATACCGAGTGACTATTAATGTTGGCGTTTTTTTTTATTAGGTTGGCAAGATATTTAAAATTTTATGATAGCATACCTGATAGCGAATTCAAATTTTGGGCAGCAATTCAGCAGCTGCCATCTTCTCATTGACAAGTGTAAAATGACATACTAGCATTGCTGGTAATAATTCAGAATTGCCAACCCAAAATTTTGCTTGAATCATTAATAGTCACTCGGTATATACATAATAACACAAATCTGTAATAAGTAATAATTTAACTATGCAAACCAGGGTTGGAAAAAATTTGAATTAAAAAAAAGTCAAAAATCAATGATATAAACCAAATTTTTTTTTTTTAATTTTTCGGTTATTTTAAATTAAAACTTTCTGTGTCTCAATTTCTCGATCTGTATTTCCCGATTTCTCAATTTTTCCATTTTTTGACTTAAAATTTTTCAATTGTAGATTTCTCGATTTTCGATTTCATGATCTCTCGATTTTTCGAAATGTATTTTGATTTTTCAAATTCTCAATGTTTCCGGTTTTCAATAAACTGCGCGTCAAAAGTTAGGGACATCGACGAAAGCCATGTTTATTACTATTTCTTTTTTACTTTTCCAAATATTTGACTCGGCTTAAGTTAAATTAATTAAAATATCCCTAACTTTTGACGTGTAGTTTATTTCAATTTTTCGAGTTCTCTGTTCTCGAATTTTCTATTTTTCGGTGTTTAGATTTTTCGATCTATCGACTTTTTCGGTTTGTCGAATTTTTGAAATTTTTTGGATTCTTCGATTTTTCGAATTTTCAATTTTTCGCTTTTTCTATTTTTTGATTTTTCAATTTTCCGACTTCTGCATTCATCGATTTTTCGGTTTTCCGATGTTTCAGTTTTCGTTTTCTATTTTTCTTGTCTTCTCCGTTTCTCAATTTTATCAGATTTTTGTTCCTACATTTTTCGATTTCTCGATTTTCCGATTTTCCGAATTCTCAATTTTTTTATTTTTTTATTTTTCCAATTTTCAATCTCTGGATTTTTCAATTTCTCCATTTTTTGGTTTTACATTTTCCGGGTGTTCCATTTCCCGATTTTCAATTTCTTGATTTCCCAATTTTATGAATTTTAGATTTTTCGTTTTCTCGATTTTCGAGATCTCACTTTTCGATTTTCAATTTCTCGATTTCTTGATTTTGGATTTCTCGATCTTTCGAATTTTCATTTTGATTTTTCGAATTCTCACTTTTTCCAATTTTTAATATCTCAAGTTGTCTAGTTCTCAGTTCTCGATTTTTCAATTTTGCGAGTTCTGAATTTCTCAATTTTCGATTTTTAAATTTTTCAAATTTCTTCTTTTCTGGTTTTTCGAATTCTCACGCTTTTCATTTATTAATTTTTCGAATTCTCAATTTATTGATTTTTTATAGAAAATTTCTCGTAGATAACGAGTCTAATTTTTCGAGTTTTCCCATTTTTCGAATTCTCTGCAAAAACATATAGTGTTACGACTACAGAAATTCAACTGTGGTGTGTGACATTCAACGACCATTTATGTATTTAAAACTAAACTTAAGTTATCCCTCCCAATGAATCAAACAGTTTTTTAACGTTGTATATTTGTCATATTCCAAATCGATTCTACTGCCATCCACACATTTTACTTCTCGAGCATATACATCGTAATAGGCTTCGTCTGACGAATAGCTACTTTCATGTTTCGTCGACGTTTCATAGCACCTAGAGTACAAAAAAGACCTTCTGTTTGCCATTTGTCTATCTGTCTGTCATCCGTTTGTGTCGATGTTTATTAGATAGATAGCAGAACCAATTGTTGTCAATTTTTATATGTATGTTAGGAATATCATGTAGATGGTAAAACGCTAACCAAAATTTGTCTTAACGCCCCCACCAGTAATGTGATGACGTCACCTCAAAATTTTGCATAGTAAATGGATAGCATACCTGATATCAAATTCAAATTTTGGGCACCAATTCAGCAGCTTCCATCTTCTCATTGACAACTGTAAAATGACATACTAACATTGCTGCCAATAATTCAAAATTGCCAACCCAAAATTTTGCTTGAATCATTAATGGTCACCCGGTATATACATAATAACACAAATCTGTAATACTTAAGTAATAATTTAACTATGCAAACCAGGGTTGGAAAAAATTAGAATTAAAAAAAAAATCAAAAGTCAATGATATAAACCAAATATTTTTTTTTTAGTTTTTCGGTTATTTGAAATTAAAACTCTAAACTCTGAAAATAGCACGAAAAATCAAAAGTTATGAGTTTTAGTTGCGTTTATTAATTTTTTCGCATTATATTTAATGGAATTATTCCAATTTTCATTTTCCACGTATTTTAACACATATTTTTAGTAGTTTTGACCAATAAGGAAAATTTATTTCCCTTTATGTTGCTAAATAGTAATAGTAATAGTAATTTTATAAAATTTAAACAGCAATTACTTTGCAAAATTTTTCGGTGACGTCATCAAATTGTTGGCGGAAATAGGGAGATAAATTTTGGTTATCGTTTTACCATCTACACGATATTCCTAAAACACAAATAATACTTGATAACAATCAGTTCAATAGCTTCGAAGGTTATCTGTCTAATAAAATATACACAGACGAGAGACGGGAGGTCAATTTTTTTCATACTCTGGGAGTGAGGAAACGAGAAAACGAAAGATTACGCTCGGATAATAAAAAAATCAAAAGAAAATGATTTTGTTAGAAATTCTTATTCTACTCGGTGTTCAATTTATTTTGATTTAAATAATGATTTAAATCGGACCAGCTTTACAGAAAACAATTACAATAAACACAAACAATACCACATTTCCAGGTGTATTTTGAAATAAAGATCGGTCAAAAATTTTTTGAAATGACGTCATGAGATTTTGTTAGTGGATAAGTAAATAAAATTTAATAAATGTCAAATAACCAAAATTTCGAAAGAATAGGTTATGTGTGTCAGTGGTCAACGTTTAGAGCAGCTTTATTCTTAAAATTTATAAACAGAGTTGCTGTTGACTAGTTTGCATAGTAAATGTTATTTAAATTTCGTAAAGTAACATACTTTTATAATTGTGGCTTATGAATCCGCCTTTATTTTTTACCCTTGGTATCCAAAATTTTTTAATTTTGTATTAGCGGTGTACGAACGTCGTACTTTATAAGCGATTAACACCGTAATTTAAATTTTTTGACTGGGAAAATAAACATTGATTATATTATTGCAATAAAAATGCTTTATTCGCACCGTAATCTTAACATTCTCCTGTATCATCTACATATTGCATTTTTAATTTGTTAGCTAGTTATGATTCTCATTACATGTTATTAGACACTGTGTAATTACTAGTTTCTAGTAACATCGATATCCTCAGGTGTACACAGTGAATCACCGTTAATTTCCTAGAAGTTATATTCTTATAAATTGTACTCTCACCAGCACCTGGATGCTAATAAATGGTATTGTGTAACTTTAGCGACTCGGCTTTTACATATTTCGAAAGATATTTTTTTGCTTCTTTTTTCAATTAAACATAAAAGTTGCTGTATCATCAAAGCTTGGATGACAGGATAATAAAAAACTGTTTAAATTGAATATAATTCAACAAAACAAATTATTTTTATTTCTGTTACATGGTTGACAGCTTGTTCACTTTTACACAAATATTTGGAGAGCACCTATGATAAAAATGAATGGATCCATTTTAAATTTTTATTGTGCTGAATCTAAGTAAGTTGCGGTGTTGGTTGATCTTTACTTTAATAATTTGTGCATTTGTGGAGATATATAAAAGAAATGTGGAATCAAATTTATCTAAGAAATTGTATTCGTTGACTTGGATTGTGTTTCGGAGGCCAGAAGGGAGTATATCCAATTTTTTCGAAGTATGTGAGAAATAAAATAAAGTGATGTCTCCAGGAAGAAGAAAAATAATCTCATTCTCTCAAGGTTTTTTCTGAAATAGATTGCCACATTCGCTTTTAGAACTTTTTTTTATTATAACCGCATGACTCATCAAAGTAATTACAACAGCAATTACATGTAGTAGTGTATCTATTTTCTGCTTGTTTGTTATCTAAAAGTAGACATTGTACGAATCGCGCTTTTAAAATTGATTAACCCATCCCGACTAAAATAAACCGTTCGCACTATATCAACTCGGGATTCCACTCAAACGCACATTCTATTAAAATAGGCCACAATAATCATATATTCACGATCATCAACAATAACCTTCGCAGCCGCCGACAATAAAGTGCGATTACCTCGCGTGCAATTAACCCATCCGGATAACACCCACCGTGATAAATTTGTTTTTAAAGACAATGAATTTCGTTCACCATAAATTAATACACTTTTTTCATTATGAATGGGGGATTATTGTGTCAATTGCAAATCGTATATAGCGGAGATAAACCGCAATGTTATCAACACTCGAATCAATGGATGTAATTTATTGAATATTACAAGATAGCTGTTAAGGGATTTAGGGTTTTGTTTGCTGATCGCGGAAACTTTTCCAGGATATGTAAACAACAATGATTTCTGTTGCAGGGTATTTTTAGAACGGCGTGCGAGAGCGTCCTGAAGACGATGCGCAAGGGGAGAGAAACGTTGCTGACTCTGTTGGAGGCGTTCGTGTATGATCCGCTCATAGATTGGACGGTGGGCGGCGAAGGGTTGGCGGGGACGAGTTTCGGCGGGATTTCGGCCACCATCAGTACTAGGCAAAGCAAGAAGGATCTGGAGAAGGAGGTTACTTTGTCTATGTTCAATGTGCGCTGCACGGAGATGAAGGTGGAATGGCACGACAACAAGTAAGTTAGGTTTGGAAATAAAGTTGGAAAGTGGGTGGTGTCAAGTCAAGTCAAGTTTTTTCAAAATTTTAAGCTGCTTTCATACTTTCGCGACGTTTCATGACCCCTAGAGTGCGAAAAAATAGGTTTTCAAAACCGAATGCTTTGAAATAAATAAATAATTAATCAAAATTTATCCGTTCATGCCTCCCCTCGCCCCAGGAATTGATGTTGTTATCTTACTTACACATCTTAAAATTTTGTCGAATAAATTTTATTTAAATGTTAAAAAGTATCATAGTTCTGAACTTGTGATTTATGAATCGGTGTTTAATTTTTATCCTAGACATGAATTTTTGGGAAAAAGTTAAATTTGTAAATATGTATAAGAATTTTTCGATTCTCTTTTAGCTTTTAGTTTTCAATTTTTCGATATTTCAGTTTTGGGATTTTTCAATTTCTCGTATTTCTAGATTTTTCTATATATGGATTTTTCAATTGTTAATTTTTTGATTTTTCAGGTTTTTGATTTTTCAATTTTTCCATTTCTCGGTTTCCAGACTTTACATTGTTTCGATTTTTCAGTTTTTCAATTTTTCGGTTTTTCGACTTTGATGTCTCAATTTTTCGATATTTCACGTTTGGGGTATTTCAATTTTTCGATTCTTTACTTTTTCTGCCATTTTTCAATGTTTGCATTTTTCGACTTTTGGATATTTCGATTATTCAATTTCTCGATTTTTTGCTTTTTCGATTTCTCATTTTTCGATTTTTGCATTTAAATTTCTCGATTAATCTCGATTTTTTGACTTTTTCATTTCTCGATTTTTTAATAATCAAATTTTTCGATATTTTAGTTTATCAGTTTTTAAAATTTTAGATTTTTCGACTTCTCAGTTCTAAATTTTTCGGTTTTAAATTTTTCGACTCTTAAAATTGTTAATTTTTTTATTTTAAATTTTTTTTGATTTCTCGCTTTGTCGAGATTTCAATGTTTCGATTTTTTGATTGTTCAATTTCTTGATTTTTAATTTTTCATTTTGACGATTATTTAAAATCTTAAATTTTTCAATTTTGAACTTTTCAATTTTTCCATTTTCGACTATTTCGATTTCTCAGTCTTTTGATGTTTTGATTTATCGATGTTTTAGTTGTTTCTGAATTTTTTGTTGTTTCGATTTCTCGGTTTTTCGATTTTTTGGCGTTTCAGTTTTTCGATTTCTCAATTGTCCGCTATTTGTTTTGGAATTTTTCAATTTCTCGATTTTTCAGTTTTTCGACTTTTCAATTTTTCGATCTTTCACTTTTGTACTTTAATTTTCCTTCCATTTTTCAATTTTTCGATATTTCCATTTTGGGATTTTTCGATTTCCCGATTTTTCGAGTTTTCAGTTCTTCGATACTTCTCTTTTTCAATTTTTGGTGTTTTTAAAGTTTTGATATTTCAGTTTTTCTATTTCTCGATCTTTCGACTTCTCGGTTTTAAATTTGTGGTTTTAAATTTTTCAGTTTTTAAAATTTCTGGTTTTTAGATTTTTCAAGTTGTCGGTTTTTAAATTTTTGACTTCGATATTTTTGATTTTTCATTTTATCGATTATTTAAAATTTGTAACTTAAATTTTCCTATTTTGGCCTATTTCAATTTCTCAATTTTTCGATGTTTCGATATCTTGGTTTTTCGATTTCACTGTTTTCCGATTTTTCTATTACTCGATTTGCCGATTTTTCGGTTTTTCAGTTCTTGAGTACTTCTTTTTTTTAATTTTTAAATTTTACATTTTTGAATTTTTCGATTTTTCAATTTATCAATTATTTAAAAATTTTAACTTTTAAATTTTCCTCTTTTGTTCTGTCTCAGTTTCTCAATTTTTCGATTTTTCGACTGCCCAACTTTTCGATTTCTCGATTATTTGATGATTCAGTTTTTGAATATTTCGATGTTTCGATTTTTTGGTTTTTCAATTTTTCTATTTCCCCTTTTTTTAATTTTTTAGTTTTTCGATTTCTCCGTTTTTCGATTTTTCTACTTTTCGTGTTTTCAATTTTTGAATTTTTCAGTTTTTGAATATTTAAATTTTTAAATTTTTGATTTTTCTATTTCTCGATCTTTTGTTCTTCGACTTTTCTGTTTAGATTTTTGGTTTTAATTTTTTCAATTTTAAAAATTTAGATTTTTAATTTTTAGGTGTTTTTGATTTTTCATTTTATCGATTATTTAAAATTTTTAACTTTTAAATTTTCCTATTTTGGCCTATTTCAATTTCTCAATTTTTCGATGGTTCGATGTCTTGGTTTTTCAATTTCTCTGTTTTCCGATTTTTCTATTACTCGATTTGCAGATTTTTCGGTTTTTCAGTTCTTGAGTACTTCTATTTTTTAATTTTTAAATTTTACATTTTTGAATTTTTCGATTTCTCAATTTATCGATTATTTAAAATTGATAACTTTTAAATTTTCCTGTTTTGTGCTATCTCAGTTTCTCAATTTTTCGATTTTTCGACTGGCCAACTTTTCGATTTCTCGATTATTTGATGATTCAGTTTTTGAATATTTCGATGTTTCGATTTTTTGGTTTTTCAATTTTTCTATTTCCCCTTTTTTTTAATTTTTTAGTTTTTCGATTTCTCCGTTTTTCGATTTTTCTGCTTTTCGTGTTTTAAATGTTTGAATATTTCAGTTTTTGAATATTTTAATTTTTAAATTTTTGATTTTTCTATTTCTCGATCTTTTGTTTTTCGACTTTTCTGTTTAGATTTTTGGTTTTAATTTTTTCAATTTTAAAAATTTAGATTTTTGATTTTTCGGTGTTTTTGATTTTTCAATTTATCGATTATTTTAAATTTTTAACTTATAAATTTTCGTATTTTGGCCTATCACAATTTTTCCATTTTTTAACTTCCCGACTTTCGATTTCTCGATTTTTGAATTTTTCGATGTTCCGATGTCTTGGTTTTTTGATTTCGGTTTTACGATTTTTTTAATTTTCGACTTTCAAATTTTTTTAAAATTCTTGTTTTTTCAGTTTCTCGATTTGCGGATTTTTCGGTTTTTCAGTTTTTTGGTATTTTTGATTTTTCAATTTATCGATTATTTTAAATTTTTAACTTTTAAATTTTCCTGTTTTGGCCTATTACAACCGAAAAATTGAGAAACTGAGATAGGAGTTTCTCAATTTTTCGGTTTTTCAACTTCCAGACTTTTCGATTTGTCGATTTTTTTGATGTTTCGATTTCTCGATGATTCAGTTTTTGAATGTTTCGATTTTTAGTTTTTCAATTTTTCTATTTTCTTTTTTTTTCAGTTTTTTAGTTTTTCGATTTCTCCGTTTTCCGATTTTTCTACTTTTCGTATTTTTAAATTTTAAATTTTTCAGTTTTTTTATTTTTCGATCTTTCGATTTTTCAACTTCTCGGTTTTAGTTTTTTGGTTTTAAATTTTTCCATTTTAAAAATTTTTGATTTTTCCATGTTTTTGGTTTTTCAATTTATTGATTATTTTAAATTTTTAACTTTTAAATTTTCCTATTTTGGCCTATTACAATTCCTCGATTTTTCGATGTTTCAATGTCTTGGTTTTTCGATTTCTCTGTTTTTCAATTTTTCTAATTTTCGACTTTTACATTTTTAAAAATTTTTTTTTTATTTCTCGATTTGCGGATTTTTCGGTTTTTCAGTTTTTCGGTATTGTATTTTTCAATTTTTCGTATTTTTAAATTTTGGATTTGACTTTTTCGATATTTTTGATTTTTCAATCCTACCTCAGTTTCTCAATTTTTAGATTTTTCGACTTCCCGACTTTTGGATTTCTCGAGTTTTTGATGTTTCTATTTTTCGATGTTTCAGTTTTTGATTATTTCGGTGTTTCGATTTTTTGGTTTTTCAGTTTTTCTATTTTCCCATTTTTTTAGTTTTTCAATTTCTCCGTTTTCCGGTTTTTCTACTTTTCGCCTTTTAAATTTAAGTTTTTGGATATCTTAATTTTTAAATTTTTGATTTTTCTATTTCTCTATTTTTTGATTTTTCGATTTTTCAAGTTGTCGGTTTTTCATTTTTCGATATTTTTGACTTTTCAATCCTATTTCAGTTTCTCAATTTTTAGATTTTTCGACTTCCCGGCTTTTCGTTTTCTCAATTTTTTGATGTTCCCATTTTTCGATGTTTCAGTTTTTGAATATTTCGGTGTTTCGATTTTTTGATTTTTTAGTTTTTCTACTTTCCCATTTTTTCCATTTTTTTAGTTTTTCAATTTCTCCGTTTTCCGGTTTTTCTACTTTTCGCCTTTTAAAATTTTGAGTTTTTCGATGTTTTAATTTTTAAATTTTTGATTTTTCTATTTCTCTATTTTTTTGATTTTTCATGTTGTCGGTTTTTCATTTTTCGATATTTTTGATTTTTCAATACTATCTCAGTTTCTCAATTTTTTGATTTTTCGACTCCCCGACTTTTCGATTTCTCGATTTTTTGGTTTTTCAGTTTTTCTGTTTTCCCATATTTGGCATTTTTTTAGTTTTTCAATTTCTCCGTTTTCCGGTTTTTCTACTGTTCGCCTTTTAAATTTTTGAGTTATTCGATATTTAATTTTTAAATTTTTGATTTTTCTATTTCTCTATTTTTGGCTTTTTTGATTTTTAATTTCTTCGGTAGTTCCATTTTTCAATTTTTCGTATTTTTAAATTTTAGATTTTTCAGTTTATCTATTTCTCGATCTTTCGATATTTCAACTTTTCGGTTTTAGTTTTTTGGTTTTAAATTTTTCAATTTTTAAAATTTTTGATTTTTCGATATTTTTGATTTTTCAATTTTTCGATAATTTTAAACGTTTAAATTTTCCTATTTTGTTTTATCTCAGTTTCTCAATTTTTCGTTTTCTCTGTTGTCCGATTTTTCTACTTTTTATCTTTTAGAATTTAGATTTCTCAATTTTCCGATATTTCTATTGTTCAATTTTTCTCATTTTTAAATTTCCAGTGTTTTGACTTTCCAATTTTTCGATTTTTAAAATTTTTCTACTTTTTGATTTTTATATTTCTTTATTTTTCAAGTTTTCGATTTCTCAATTTTTCAACATTCCAATTTTGAGATCCTTTCAATTTCTGGATGTTTCGATTTTTTAATATTTTAATTTTTCGATTTTTGGAAAAACATTTTTTCCGTCGGTTATCCGCTTCATATTGTTCGCACTTGTACGGACCGTGTGCCTTGGAATTTGCACGGGTTGCACTTCCGCCGTGAGGGAAGTTCTATCTAAATAACGTTCAACCATTTTTTTTTTTTAATTTACAAAAATAGAAATGTTAGCCTATAATAAAATTTATATTTGAAGGTGCCCCTAAGTAGTTAAAAGTATTTTTCACAAGTGAACATAAACGATAATTTATTGACACGGTTGGTGTTTATAATGGCACTATTTATTACTCTGCGGCTATAGAAAACACATTATAGTCAAACAGCTGCGATTTGGTTTACCGCAAATTAAAAAGTGGGTGTAAAAACAAATTGATTGATACACATGACAAATAATTTTTTTACTTATCCAGGGAGCAAATCCAAAAAGACATCCCATCTCTTCTGTCCCACTTCAACTCCTGGCTCGACGTCCACAAGAAAATCGACGAAACCGAAGACTACCTACAAGACCTCCACCAACAGATGGCGCTGGTAAAAGAAGCGGAAGCCCACGGCGCCAACAAACACAGCCTATACAACCTCCCATCACGCTACGAGATCTACTGCAAAACCCAAGAAGCGATGAAAACCGCCAAAAAAGACATAGACAAAATAGTGAACGAAGCCGAAACCCACATCACCACCTACCTGGAAGCTCTAAAGCTCCTCGAGAGCTCACAGTTCGCCCAGTGGATCCAAGACCTCAAAACGCCATCCAACGACATGAACGTCTTCGACTTGGTGAAAGAATTCTTGCACAACGCGGGAAAAAACGACATTATAACGCAGTGCGAGCAGTCCGAAAGCGACGTCGAACAACTATCGAAGCTCCAGAACTTGTCGATTCGCAGATGTTTGCAGCTGTTGCAGGAGTACCACGCGATTTTGTCCCAGTGCCCGAAATCCTACATCGAGAACCACCGGATGTACCTCTTTTTAAACTGGTGTAAATTCATGACAGACACGAAAACGGTGGAAAGTTGCGACGCCGTCTACGAGAAGTTCAGACTCTTTTTGGATTTGAGCAACGCTAAACACACCCTACAGTTTTCGTTCAGCTTGGAGGGCTGCTACAAGGAGACGGTAGCTCAAGTTAATAAGTTGTACGAGGACTTGACGAAAATAAGGGCGCAGGAGTCGAGCGCGTCCCTGGAGAAGCTCTACGCCACGGCTAGGTTGGGCGTGTCGACTTTTCTCAGTTGTGAGAAGGGGGCGACAAGTGCTTTTGAGTTCGTCATAGCCAATGAGTTGGTTCTTCTGAATAAGAATTTCCTGACTTTGGAGACCGCTGCTAGTCGCAGTGGGGATCTTCTGATTAAGTTGACGTCGAGGGATGGCGACTGGTTTTTGGATGAGCTGGTCTTGAATAGTACCAGAGTGGTGGAGATGATTAATAATCTTCCTTTGAAGCAGGAGGGTGAAGATGAGAGGTTTTTGAAGATTTTGAACGGAATTAGGAGCGCTAATAACGTTTATAAGGGGTTGCACGAGTTGCATTTTAATTTCCACACGATTATTTTGCCGGAGAGTATGAAGAAGATACAGAGTGAGGAGCCTACGGCGATACAGATGATTACGGATTTGGGGAGTTTGATCATAGAGTTGGGGACTACCATTCCTGAGATGATCGCGCAGTTGGAGAAGATCCTGTCGTGTTTGTTCATGCAAATGGACATTAATGTAAGTAGTAAAAAATATACAATTGGGGTTGACATTAAAAAAAAAAAAATTTAACATGACGTTTGGAAAAATACACGTATTTGTTTCAAAGTTGTGATAAATGCATTAAATATTGAAATTAGAAAATATATATATACAAAAAAACCTATCCTCTGTTTCAGAAATGTGTGCTCGAGAGTTGATTCTGCAGTAGATTTCACAAAAACTTGTTGCATTAAGAATTTTCTGAAAAAAAAAAAAATTGTTTGGCAGGATAATTGAAAAATAACTAACACTTTGGAAAATAATCAGAATTTCTTTCGTTAATTTCGGCTCCCAGAATTTTTTTACGATTTCATTTCTTCCAAAATTCCTATAATTTTTCCAGGATTGTCAAAATGAAATAAAATTCTTGGCTTTAAAATCGAATATTTCGAAAATCTTGGTCCAGTACCATTGTTTTGCATGCAATTCAGCAATTTTTCGTGGAATTTTAAACAATTCAATATGAATTTTTTTACCTTTTCTCGAGCATCTTCAAAATTCACCAAGACAGGTTTTTTTGTTGATTTGGAATAGAGTAGGTATTTAAAAAAATTATTTTAAAATAAAAAATTTAGAAAATCTTGGTCCTGGAACATCAACACGCTATGTTTATAATTTAGCTTGTCTAGGTCTGCATTACATTTTTTTTTTGTGGAATTTTGGGCAACTTCGGTGAAAGCTAAATTTTCAGTATGAAATTTCGAAAATTACCAAAACAATTTCTTTCGTTAATTGCGACTCCCACAATTTTTGTTGCGACTTCGTTTCTTTGAAAATTAAAAAAAAAATTCCATGATTGCCAAAATGAAGTACGGCAATTTTTGGGATATTTAAAAAAATCTCACTTTAAAAACTACTATTTTCAAAATTTTGATTCTGGACTATCAACACACTGTCGGTTCAGTTGGTATAGATCTATTTTCCAAAATAAATTGTTTATAAAATTTTAAGCAATCAATGTATTTGAAATTTTAAGCAACTTGGACAAAATTCAATTTTTCGACATCAATTCAGTATGAAATTTTTGACTTTTTTTGGGAAACTTTTAGAAATTACTAAAAGAGATTCTTTTGTTGGTTTGAACCTCCAGAGGTTTTTTTGCCTTCATTTCTTCGAAAATTCTTACCATTTTTCAGAATATCGAGAAAATGAAATATGGCAAATTTTGGGATATACCAGATAATTCACTTCAAAATAGACTTTTTCGAAAAGCTTGGTTCAGGACTATCAACACGCTATGTTTATAATTCAGCTTGTCTAGGTCTACATTCTATTTTTTTTTTTGTGGAATTTTAGGCAACTTCAGTGAAAGCTCAATTTTTCAGTATAAAATTTTCTAAAATTACCAAAACAATTTTTTTTTTAATTTCCAGGGTCGCCAAAATGAAATAGGGTAATTTTTGGGATATTAAAAAAATCTCACCTTAAAACCCAATATTTTCAAAATTTTGATCCAAGACTATCGCCACTCGGTTTTTCAGTTCAGCTGGCCAAGATTTATATTCCAAAATAAATTGTTTGAAAATTTTAAGCAACTTCGGCAAAATTCAGTTGGTCCTAATTAATTATTATCAGAAGAGATTCTTTTGTTGATTTAAATGGTTAGAGGTTTTTTGCCTTCATTTCCTCGAAAATTATTACTTTTTCCGTTATCGAGAAAATGAAACATAAGAAATTTTGGGATATTTAAAAAAACTCACTTTCAAGAAGCATGAATACGCCGTTTTTAGACTTAACTTGTCTAGATCTACATTCTACATTTTTTTTGAGGAATTTTGGCAAAGCTCAGTTTTTCAATACTCAAATCAATATGAGATTTTTGACCTTTTCTCGAGTACCTTCGAAAATTACCGAAATAATTTCTTTCGTTAATTATGACTCCCAGAATTTTTTTACAACTTTTCTTTGACTATTTCTAAAATTTTTCGAAGATCGTCAAAATGAAATTTTTCTTTAAAACCGAATATTTTCAAAATTTTGGTTCGGGACTGTCAAACACGCCGTTTTTCTGTTCGGTTGGTCTAGATCAATTTTCCAAAATTGTTTGTGAAATTTTAGGAAACTTAGGCAAAATTTTTCAACATCAATTGAATATGAAATTTTTTACTTTTTGTCTGGAAACTTTTACAAACTACTAAAAGAGATTCTTTTGTTGATGAACCTCCAGAGGGTTTTTTGTTTTCATTTCTTAAACAATTCTGACCATTTTTCCGAATATGGAAAAAATGAAATGTGATGACAATTTTTAGGAAAGATATTAAAAAAAATTGACTTTAAATAAAAAATTTCGAAAATATTGGTCCAGTAACATCAACCCGTTGTTTTGCAATTCAGGTCGTCTAGATCTATAGCCCAGAATTTTGTATGGAATTTTAGGCAGCTTCCACAAAAGCTCAATTTTTCAATACTCAAATCAGTATGTTTTTTGACCTTTTCTAGAGCAAGATTCTTTTGTTGATTTTGAAATTCCAGACGTTTTTTGCCTCCATTTCTTTGAAAATTCTGACCATTTTTCCGTTATCGAGAAAATGAAATTTGGCCAATTTTGGGATATGCCAGAGAATTCACTTCAAAATCGAAAATTTTGAAAATCTTGGTCTTGTCAATACGCCATGTTTTTATTTCAGCTTATCTAGGTCTACATTCCATTTTTTTGTGGTATTTTAGGCAACTTCGGCGAAAGCTCAATTTTTCAATATGAAATTTCGAAAATTACCAAAAGAATTTCTTTCGTTAATTTCGACTTCCGAAATTTTTGTTGCGACTTCGTTTTTTGTTTTTAAATTAAAAAATCCAAGATCGCCAAAAAAAACGGCAATTTTTGGGATATTTAAAAAAAATCTCACTTTAAAATCCACTATTTTCAAAATTTTGGTCCAAGACTACCGGTTCAGTTGGTCTAGATCTATATCTAATAACATCATAAACAATTTGTTCTGGATCTATAATCTAGAATAAATTGTTTATGAAATGTTAAGCAATTTCGGCAAAATTCAATTTTTTCGTATTCAAATCAATTGAATATGAAATTTTTTATTAAATTCTGAGCGCTTTCAAAAATTATGGAAAGAAATTCTTTTATTGATTTGAGTCCCCGGAGGGTTTTTTTGCCTTTATTTCCTCGAAAATGATTACTATTTTCCGTTATCGAGAAAATGAAATATTGCAAATTTTGGAATATTTAAAAAAAAGTACTTTCAAATTTAATATTTCGAAAATCTTAATCCAGGGCCATGAATACACTATTTTTGAACTTAGCTCGTCTCGATCTACATTCCACTTTTTTTTTTGAGGAATTTTACTCAAAAGCTCAATACTGAAATCAATATTACATTTTTGACTTTTGCTCGAGTACATTCGAAAATTACCAAAAGAATTTCTTTCGTTAATTTAGACTCGTAGAATTTTTTTACGACTTCGTTTTTTTGAAAATTTTAAAAATTTGTCCAGGATCGCCAAAATGAAATATAGGAATTTTTCGGATCTTCTAAAAATCTTACTTCAGAACCGAATATTTTCCAAATTTTGGTTCAGGACTATCAAACCCCCCGTTTGTCTGTTCGGTTGATCTAGATCTTTTTTGCAAAATTGTTTGTGAAATTTTAGGCAACTTTGGCAAAATTCAAATTTTCTGTCAGTTCACTATTAAATTTTTGACTTTTTTCTGGAACTTTCAGAAATTACCAGAGGAGATTATTTTGTTGATTTGAACCTTCAGAGGTTTTTTGCATCAAATTCTTCGAAAATTCTTACCATTTTACCAATATCAAGAAAATGAAATATGATGGCAATTTTTGGGGTAGGCATTTAAAGAAAATTACTTTAAATCAAAAATTTCGAAAATCTTGGTCCAAGAACATCAATTTTTACAATTTTGCTTGTCTAGATCTACATTCCCTCATTTTTTGAAGAATTTTAGCCAAAAGTTCAATTGTTCTATACTCAAATCACTATGAAATTTTTAACTTTTTTTCATGTACCTCCGAAAATTGTCAAAAGAATTTCTTACGTTAATTTCAACTCCCAGATGTTATTTTCGTTTCATTAAATTTTTTTAAAAATTTTGTAAGATCGCCAAAACGAAGTATGTCAATTTTTGGAATATTTTAAAAATCTCACTTTAAAACCCAATATTTTAAAAATTTTTGTTCGGGGTTATCAAAAAAAGCCATTTTTTTGTTCGGTTGGTTTAGATCCACATTCCAAATTTTTTTGTGCAAATTTAGGCAACTTGGGCAAAATTCAATTTTTCAATATCAATTCAATCTGAAATAATTGATTTCTTCTGCACATTTTCAAAAATTACCAAAAGAGATTCTTTTGTTGATTTGAACCTCCAGAGGTTTTTGCCTCCATTTCTTCGAAAATTCCTACCATTTTTCCAAAATTTAAAACCGAAAATTTTCTAAATTTAGGTTCAAGACTATCCGTTTAACCTGGTTTGTCTGTTCGGTTGGTCTAGATCCATTTTCCAAAATTGTGTGTGAAATTAGGCAAAATTCAAATTTTCAGTATCAGTTCAATATTAAATGTTTTACTTTTTTCTGAAAACTTTCAGAAATTGCTAAAAGAGATTCTTTTGTTGATTTGAACCTCCAAAAGTTTTTTACATAAATTTCTTGGAAAATTCTTATCATTTTTCCAATATCGAGAAAATGAAATACGATGTCAGTTTTTGGGATAGGTATTTCAAAAAATTTACTTTTAAATCGAATATTTTGGAAATCTTGGTTCAGTAACATCAACTCGCTGTTTTGCATTTCAGTTTGTCTACGAATACATTTCAGAATTTTTTATGGAATTTTAGGCAACTTCGACAAAAGCTCAATTATTCAATACACAAATCAGTATGAAATGTTTGACCTTTTCCTGAACAATTTTAAAAATAACCAAGAGAGATTCTTTTGTTGATTTGTGCCTCCAAAGATTTTTTGTCTACATTTCTTCGAAAATTCTTACCATTTTTCTACCATCGAGAAAATGAAATATAGCAAATTTTGGGATATTTCAAAAAAATCACTTTAAAATGGAGTATTTCGAAATCTTGCTCCAGGACCATAAACACGCTGTTTTTGAATTTAGCTCGTTTAGATCTACATTCCACATTTTTTGAAGAATTTTAGGCAAAATCTCAATTTTTTAAACTCAAATCAATATGAAATTTTTTGTCTTTCCCTGAGTACCTTCGAAAATTACCAAAAGAATGTCAGGTTCGCCAAAATGAATCATGACGATTTTTGGTATATTTGAAGAATCTTATTTAGAACCCAATATTTTCAAAATTTTGGTCCAGAACTATCAACACATTTTCCAAAATTTTTGCTGAAATTTCAGACAACTTCGGCAAAAATCCAATTTTTCATTAATTCAATATAAAATTTTTCACCTTTTCCCGAGCACCTTCTTTTATTCATTTCAATCTCCAGTAGTTTTTGTGCCTTCATTTTTTCTAAAAAAAAAATTGTCGTTAAAAGCGAATATTTTTAAAATTCAGGACTATCAACATGCTATTTTCCAATTCAGCTGGTTTAGATTAATTTGTACTCCCAATTTTTTTCTGGAGTTGGCAAAACTCGAATGTTTCAATATCAATTTAGAATGAAAATTTTTACTATTTTTTTATCGCCAAGAAATTTAAATATGGCAAATTTTGGGATTTTAAAAAAACAATCTCTATAATATCACACATTTCGAAAATTCAGCTCGTCTGGATCTACATTCTACTTTTTTTGAGTGATTCCGGCAAAAGCTAAAATTTTAAATTCCCAAATCAACACGAAATTTTTTATTTATCTCGACTATTATCGAAAATTGCCAAAAAACCTGAACTGACCCCACCCGACCAGATCTGAGCCGACCCGAGCCGACCTGGCCTGATCCGACCTGACCTGATGCGACCTGACCTGACCTGACCTGACCTGACCTTACTTTTTCCCAACTGCCATAGGAAATTATCAAAAAAATTCGTTGGTTAATTTTGACTTCCAAAAGTTTTGTACGCCTTTACATTTTTGAAAATTGCCAAAAGAAAAATTTGGGATACACATCTCGAACGGAAGTCAAGAAAAAAGAGAGAGAAATCGGTACCAACATAGAAAATAAATTTAGTAGCGGAAAATCCATAAAAGAATACCTGTTAGAAACATCTTCTTAAGTCACCGAAAGTGAAAACAGTTTTCGTCTTAGAAGAAAATATTATTTTGAAAAGAATACAACTTTGAAACAAAAATTTTCAGATTCTGTTTTCCATTTTAAAACAATGAATAAAAACGACCAATAGTAAATAGCCTTAATATAGTTAAATTTATACAAATATTTTTTGCAGCCATCCTACGAGCTCGTCCTCGACCGCGTCTCCTCCCTCCGCACCAAATTCTACCACCTCGTCCAGACCCAAACCGACACCCTCAGCGCCGGCAAAATGCTCCTCATGGGCTTCAACGGCCTCTTCGACAAACTCACCCAAGAAATGCACAACCTGGTGAACCTCCTCGGCAACGTGGACATCCCCACCCCCTGGAAGAAACTCGACCAAGTAAAAGAAGCCAAAAACATCGCCGCCCACATCTTCAACCCCAAAGTGCACGAAATCCTAGAAGACATCTTCCTGCTCAAGCGCCTCCAAACCATGTCGGAGTTCTTCGAGCTCACGTTGGAAATGTGCCAGTCGTTCAAAGGCAGCGGCAAACACGTGGTCTTCAGCGACGAGCAACTGGTCAAACCAGTAAGGCAGTTCATCGCCGATTTTATCTCTAGGCAGCTGCTGGGGATCACCACGGAGGCAGTGGCTTACACTGTATGCTTCCTCCTCCAGAATCTGAGTCTAGATGTGGAGCACGAAATCGAGCAGAAGGATATCGGAGCTGAGACGAAGGTGCCATTGGACGAACTGTGCCACAAAGCGTGGAATTGCTTACTAAAACAGGGGATTTTCACCCAGAACCTGGTTTCACAAGCGTCGAGCTTCTCGGCGAATTTGAAGAGCGCGTGGGAGAAGATCCAGGAGCCGAAGAAGATCGAGTTGAAGTTGACAGTACTGCAGTCTAGCGCCATGCGGATACAGAATCAGTTGACGGTGTATAATTTTATGTATGAGGAGATTTTGACGCAGTTGCATGTGTATACGGGGGTTAGAAGCAAGTTTATCATCGATTTGAAGAACGAGATGACCACGTTGAAGAGTATACACGCGAAGTTGACTGAAGCGAGGGAGAAGCAGCAGTTGTTGATTGAGAATGCCCATCAGAGGCTCAACTGGGCGAAAGGGGCGAATCCCAATGTTATAGAGATATCGGCGGCTTTTGAAAGCGCGGTTTCGGCGAGAGATGGCAGACTTACTCTTGAACAAACTATAGAAAGCGAGGTTTTGGCGGCCTGCAAGGTCATACTGCAGCACGAATTGCTGAGGACACACTGTAACGAATCAAAAGGTAGGTGGCGTTTACCGAACAGATGGAGCGATCACGTGAGCTAATTAATTAAAATTAAAATTAAAAAAAGATAGTCCCCGACCCAAGCGTAAAGAGTTAATCTTGAATGAGAATAGTGAACATATTGTGATAACCCAAACTTCCCGCAAAGCAGGCCGTTACGGTCGCAGATTCGCAGTTGGGTCTCGACCATTGGACCAAGTCGACAGCACTACTGCATCTTTTGTGCAGGTGACGCGATAAATCTCACCAGCCCGACAAGGAACCGCACACTCCACTTCTGCCACGTTTTCTGTGTTATTTAACCTCAATCTTGTGAAATTTTAAACAACAAATAATTCTTATTTGAGATTAAGATTGGACATCAGATAATTTATATGATGGAAACATTAATCAACAAAATATTTGCAAAACAAAACTTAGCAAAGATTTATAAAAACAAAAGATCTGGTGTGAAATAAACTTGTGCAAATAAAAATATTATGTGAAGTTAAAACTGCAGAGCATGAAATTTACGTTCAATTAAAATTATACAACAAATAAAATTACTGAGGTTAAAGTTGTGAGATAGAGAAATATTGTATGAGGTGAAAAATTACAAAGTTAACAAAGTTAAATGAGATTAATACTTGCAAGACTTTATCAACGATTCAAACAAAGAGTTTACATTATATTAAATTATGTTGTGATCCAAGTGATTGGTTACTTAAAAACAATTTACTTTGAGAGTTTATCGTGAACTAGTTACTCCCAACAAAACACATAATAAATGAACACAAAAAGATCCAGTCATCGTTGCGAGGAAAAAGTGTCTCGGTGATGTAAATTTTAACAATGCGAGGAAACGTCTCTGTGATGTAATTTTAAACGTTGCGAGGAAATGCCTCGGTGGTGTAATGATGATAACGATGATAACTGCCTAAGGGAAGAAATTATTTTAACTCCCCGCCAGTTCACGGTATGAATTAGTTAATTTAAGTGCCGTAAATGAACTATTAGCAATCTTGTGTGAAGAATTAAGTGTTATAACATAACACTTACGTACAAACATCCAGAAACTTATTTATAATTAGACAAACAAAATGAACCGAGTCCTGACTCAGTGAATTTCATGAAAACTCCTAGCAAATGTCTGTTAAATGCTGTTAGCACCACTTAACGATTAAAATCCTAACCTGATCGGTGAATTTACAACACATAATAAATAAACACAAAAAGATCCAGTCATCGTTGCGAGGAAAAAGCGTCTCGGTGATGTAAATTTTGACGTTGGCGAGGAAACGTCTCGGTGATGTAATTTTTAACGTTGCGAAGAAATGCCTCGGTGGTGTAATGACGATAACGATGATAACTGCCTAAGGGAAGAAATTATTTTAACCCCCCTGCCAGTTCACGGTATGAATTAGTTAATTTAACTGCCGTAAATGAACTATTAGCAATCTTGTGTGAAGAATTAAGTGTTATAATGTAACACTTACGTATTAACATCCAGAAACTTATTTATAATTAGACAAACAAAATGAAACGAGTCCTAACTCAGTGAATTTCATGAAAACTCTTAGCAAATGTCTATTAAATTGTGTTAGCACCACTTGACGATTAAAATCCTAACCTGATCGGTGAATTTACAACACATAATAAATAAACACAAATAGATCCAGTCATCGTTGCGAGGAAAAAGCGTCTCGGTGATGTAAATTTTGACGTTGTCGGGGAAACGTCTCGGTGATGTAATTTTTAACGTTGCGAGGAAATGCGTCGGTGGTGTAATGATGATAACGATCATAACTGCCGAAGGAAAGAAATTATTTTAACCCCCCGCCAGTTCACGGTATGAATTAGTTAATTTAACTGCCGTAAATGCACTATTAGCAATCTTAAGTGAAGAATTAAGTGTTATAATGTAACACTTACGTATTAACATCCAGAAACTTATTTATAATTAGACAAACAAAATGAAACAAGGCCTGACTCAGTGAATTTCATAAAAACTCCTAGCAAATGTTTGTTAAATTGTGTTAGCACCACTTAACGATTAAAATCCTAAGCTGATCGGTGAATTTACAACACGTAATAAATAAACACAAAAAGATCCAGTCATCGTTGCGAGGAAAAAGCGTCTCGGCGATGTAAATTTTAACGTTGCGAGGAAACGTTTCGGTGATGTAATTTTTAACGTTGCGAGGAAATGCCTCGGTGGTGTAATGATGATAACGATGATAACTGCCTAAGGGAAGAAATTAATTTAACCCCCCGCCAGTTCACGGTATGAATTAGTTAATTTAACTGCCGTAAATGAACTATTAGCAATCTTGTGGGAAGAATTAAGTATTATAATGTAACACTTACGTATTAACATCAAGAAACTTATTTATAATTAGACAAACAAAATGAAACGAGTCCTGACTCAGTGAATTTCATGAAAACTCCTAGGAAATGTCTGTTAAATTGTGTTAGCACCACTTAACGATTAAAATCCTAACCTGATCGGTGAATTTACAAACGATAAAACAAATTTACAGCACGAATAACGTTGATTGAAAATTAGCACTTTTTCCGATTTAAAAGCCGAAAGAATTAGTTGCGCGTATTGGGGGAAAAATTGTGACGTCATCGTTGTGACTAATTTTCCTTAAACAAAGGCTTTCACCTTTTTATTAACTACCAAACCAACTAAATTAACCAGACTGCTCTTCCCCATGCCGCCATCAACCAACCCTCTAACTAAAACCCCCTAGCTAGCTACCAACTATCAGGAAAAGAACTAAATGTGCACAAGGCCTATGTTTAACGATTTTTTTGATTGATTTTTTTTCTCAAATTCAAAGTATCCAAAGTCAATTAGAGCTTTTAGATGGTTGTAACATTTTATTCTCTTTTTTTTTTATCCTGCTTTGGCCAAGTTGAACAAAAATGTGTGGTGGTTATGGACGACGCACCATATCATTCAATGCAGTTGGACAAACCACCAACATTTTCTAGTAAAAAAAGTAACGTTTATTTGCAATACCGAGTGTTTGAAAAATGGCGGATTTACTCTTCACTACGTTATGTACGGGTATTTCAGGGGTCTAAAATATAATAAAAAAATTCTTTATGATCTGGACTACGAAAAAAACTTAATTTTATCAAAGTAAAATTTGATTTCTTAGTAACAATGGTAACTGTTGTGCATTATTATTAATAAAACAAGCTGTTATTTTTCATTGATAAATAAACCGAAAAAACATTTAATAAGAAATTTATAAATTATAAACAAAAACCAAACCAACGAAAGAAAAATCCATTAAAGCATAGATAAGCTCGTAGTGTTTCCAAATTTTGATAATTTTTTGTAAAAATTAGTTGCTAAGATAAGACTGATTTTGGCAGATGACATCATCTAAGAAAAGAGAGGGTGGGTGGGCGGGGCTAGTACCTGCTAACGTAAAACTGATTTTGGCAAATGAAATACCTTCTAAGAAAAGAGCGGGCGGGTGGGCGGGGCTAGTACCTGCTAAAATAAGATTGATTTTGGCAGATGACATACCCCCTAAGAAAAGAGAGGGCGGGTGGGCGGGGCTAGTATTATCTATCAGAGCAATAGATTATTAAATGTTTTTAAATTTTCCATTAGTAATGATCCGCACTCCTCACACAACACATGTTTTAACATTGAAAACGATCTTTCAACATTGACGTAGGTTATTGGAGCAAATTTTAAATTTCCTATTACAACTTGATCTATATCCACATTTACAAATTCTCCTCCCATAATTTTACTCACAAGCGACAAAGTACTACAACCTACATTTTTTTACTTACTTAACAGTTACTTGCAGAAACTTTTGGCATTTTGGACTCGAAGTTCACTTGTCAGTACTAAAATAAAGACTGACCAAATTAAGAATGACTACTTGAAGAGTTAAATAAGGGAAAATTAACCTCCTGAACGGTCTGTACTAATTTTCTTTCGTTTTCTTACAGGTTACGACAAGCTCTTCCTCAACAGTTTCGAAAAGTGGAGGATCGCTTGTCAGTACACGACTTCCCGAAACGACGTTCTCACCCCCACCGAAGAAAGCATCATGAACCTACTAACCACCGATCTATTACACAACCCGAAATGGCTTGAAGCCATCTCCGAGATAATCTCGGACCTCATCACCATGTCCCAACGCAAACTGAGCGAGGACAGAGCCACCCTCCTTTGCGTCTACGACGACCTGACCTCTTCCATCGAAAAATTCAAAGAGGTCTACAACACCCACTGCAAACTGATGAGCGACGTCAAGTCCCTCATCAAATCCATGACGAAAATCGAGGACTACGGGACCCAGACCCAACAGTTCGTTTCCGACTACCGACAGTACATCGACAATTTTTCGTCTTTGTTTTCGAAATTCAAAAAAGACATGAACTTGGAGGATGTGAAGACGTGTGTCGACTATTTGCATCTTCTCGAACAGCGCACCGAGCAAATCTATGGCGATTTGCTGAATTTGGAGGCGAAAAGGAATCGGCCTCAGTTGATCAGGCAAGATTGCGTCTCTGTGAGTCCGGCCAAGATGGCGAAGCAGGAGAATACGAAGGGACAACAGAGGAACGCTTATGCTGTTAATGTGTGGCGCAGGGTTAAAATGAAGTTGGAAGGACGAGATCCAGATCCTGGCAGAAAATATACTTCTCAAGAGCAGGTAAATAAAATGAATTTTTTTGGAGATTCTTTCTTATACCAGGTTTTTCTGTGTTTTCGAAGGTGGATTACGTAATCCGCGAGGCGACCAACTTGGATAACTTGGCCCTCCTGTACGAGGGCTGGACACCGTGGGTTTGAAGTGCATCGAGCGCGGCAGTAAAGCCCTGCCTGGATCTCTCTTCAGTACTAGTAATGCGCCAGTGCGCACTGGTCGCCGTGGGTGAAGCAGCAGCGCCATCTCTAACTATACTTGCCCATCAGGCCAAGTCGCTTAGTTTTATTGTTCTTGCAAGAATTTGATTTAGGAATCGAGGGAATATTGAAAAAATAAAAAAACAAAAAATAAACACACCGTTCTTGCACTATCGGTAAAACTCTGCCACTTGAACATAGTAAAGTATATCTCAAAAGTTAATGCTGCTTTTCATTTTAATTATCAACGGTAATGTCAGAGTCGACGAACGCTGCCTAAACGGTAGTTTCTATGTTTTCAAAATGGAGTCTTATCGATGTATTTGGAATCGAAAAATTCATCGTACCATAAAAATCTGCGGTACTTGAACTGGATTTACACGTGGGAGTTACGTCGTGGCTGCGTGTGTGTAAATTCAGTTGGGATTTTACTATTAATGTTACTATACCTTCAACTCTAGTAGGTACCCTTCAATCATGCTCTAGCTCTTCATACGTAACTTTATCACGGATCTGACAAAGGTATAAATTGATTTTTAGATGTAGTACGTTCTTATTATTGCTTATCTAGGGTGTTATTATTTTTTAATAAGTTTGATTTTTATTTAGAAATTGTAATAAATGTTTCCGAAGACACGTCCTCATTCTTTAATAACACGCTAAAAGAATGCCTTAAATCTTTGTGTGTGTACAATGTTTATTACTTTTTCTGATTTCTTTTAATAATAATATAGAATATACCTATTCCGCTGTGCAGTTTTTTTTTCTTTCATATCCTCAATATTTTTAAAAATCAAACTAAATACTTGCCACCGTAGAAAAAGGTGCAAGCGTTTTGTATTTGGCGCGCCGACAGAATTGTTCCTTATTGGACTCTGTAAAGCGGATCGTTCATTGGATGTTGCAATTAAAATGTCGGTGTAAATCTGTTACGCCCAAAGTTTGCCACGTGTCATTCAAACTTTTTAGCAGAAATCGGTTGTCGCATTTTACGGAAACTTCGCGTACCCATTTTACGGTATTCAAATCAGCAGCTACCAATGGGGAAATTGTTCGCAGATCACGTGTTCGTAGGACTCTTCATCATTGGTGGCCACAGTAGAGGGAGAAACGTCAAAAACATAAACAAGTGAACGTCAGAGTTGCATTTACGACAGAATTTTTTAGGTTAGTGAAAACACGGTAGAAGATTTAGAACGAAAATCGATATTTATAATAAGTGGGTTTCTCTCCTAACTCGCTAGTGTTTCTTGGACCGAAAAGACCGAATTAGTAATTTACATGAAACCGAAGGTTGTGTTTTGAGTATAAAAATTAACCTATAACCATTTCCGTTAAATCCGCTCAAAATGGTAATGGAATCAAAGACCACAAGTAAAACAAGCTGCCTGAAAGCCCTCCTACTTAAAGCGTGGCGTGAGCGCTGGACTGATTTACAATGGGGCATCAACATCAAAACAGTCCTTCCGAGAGGTGTCAGCGGCGACGTGTACAATCTAGCGGACTGCATTTTGCAACAAGCTGTAGTAGGCGCCGGTGCCAACCAGTTAGTTTTAAGTTACTTAAGACATTCGTTAAGTGCTCAACTTGTGTCTCATGCGGCTGTTCTACAACGTCTTAGCAAATACAACCAGTTAAATAAGGTCCACTGCGTTTTCAACCTCTTGGAATTTCTTGAAGGAATGTTACCAGGGGTAACTTGTTGCGGAAAACCGGAAGAAACAGTGCTTGCAACAGCAATCCTATCGATTGTGTGTTGGTTGCTGAATATTTTATTGCAGTGCAAAGGCACCCCCCATTTGACACAAAAAGCGTCGTTTTTGTTAACGACATTGATGAACGACGATTTTTACGTATCGATGATGTGCTTGGCGAGGTACAGCGATCCAGGTATTTAAATTCTTCTTCCAAACTTTTTTTTAAACATATAATTTTACGTTTTGTAGAATTGTTTTCTGAAACTAACCGAAAATGTCTCGAACTGGGGGCTTCTCTCGCCGAGTCTGACGACCTCTTTAAATGTGTGAAAAAACTAGAAAACATTGACGTCAACACTTTAAGTCTACCAATCACGAGCGAGAAGTGGCCAGGCACCTTGATCCAGTGTTGGCTGGAAGTCAAACTCGTGGGTAACCCGGGGGCCTCCACCAGCTCGCTCTCGGAGCAGTTGAGACTTTTCCAGAAACTCAAAGGTTTCGACGGCCCCCGCCTCTACGCTGAGTTGATGAGAGGCAGTTTATTGGCACTATATGACGTGAATCAAACTTCACACGAAAGCCAGTGGGGGGCTTTTGCGTTTTTGAAAGTCCCACATATTCTTATGGAGTTGACGGGGAAGAATGATAGTTCGAGTATTGTGAATGCGGTGGAATTAATGTTGCAACATAGCCCCCTTTTGGACGCTATGGACGCCAATAGCTCCTGCTCTAGTTTAGAGTGTCTTTTGGGCGAATTAGTGAAAGCTCGGTTAATTACAGACACTCAGATTAAACACTTGTTGGAGAAGAGAAAAGCGCCCCCAACGCTGAAACTGGACACTGCGCCTGCGGCTGCGGGGATACCGAAAGTTATTATTTGTGCAGAGCCGACCCTGGCGGGGATTTTGAAGACGTTGTCCACGGACTATCATAAAATACAGGTAATGTTAAAATTTTGTTTCTCGAATATAACCTAAGGAAGTATTATATTGTAATCAAGTCCAACGGGCGACTGGCTACTTTTATGATTTCTGGACGTTTCATAACCCCTAGAGTACGCAAAAGGGGTCTCCCGTTTCTGTCTGTCTGTCGTCTATGTCGATTTTTATTAGACAGATAATATTGAAAACTGCCGGATTGATGGTTGTCAAATTTTGTGTGTATGTAGATTGTAGCAGTAGGATGACGTCGTCTCCAAATTTTACAATAGTAAATTTTATTTAAATTTTATAAAATAACCTACTCCTCCACTTGTATAACATAACAATATTTTACAATTTGGAAATAAAAAGTAACACAGTCCTGAACTTCTGGTTTATGAATCCGTGTTGAATTTTTGTAATAAACGTGGAGATTTTTTGAAACAAAAACAAATTGAATAACAATTTTTCGATTTCTCAGTTTTCCTGTATTTCAGGTTTAGGATTTTTCAATCTTACGATTAATCGATTTTTTGATTTTTCACTTTCTCAATTTATCGATTTCCCCGGTTTTCGATGTCTCAGTTTTGGAATTTTTCAACTTTTCGACTTTTCGTTTTTTTAAGTTTAAGATTTTCCGATTTCTGAATTTTTCGAGTTTTTAATGTTTGATTTCTCGATTTCTCGAATTTTCCTTTCTTCGATTTTTCTGTCTTTCAATTTTTCGAAATTTTAAATTTTACAATTTTTTACTTTCTTATGTATCGATCTCTCAATCTTTTGATTTTTCAATTTTTCGATTTTTTAAGTTTAACTGTTTCAATTTTGAATTTTTCGATTTTGAGCTCTTTCGAATTCTCAATTTTTCTGTTTCGGTTTCTCCATCTTTGATGTTTTGATTTGTTTCAATTACATATTTCAATTTCTCGATTTTTCGATTTTCCAATTTTACGATATTCCAGTTTCTGGATTTTTCAGCTTCTCTCTTCTTTCTTCTTTTCTTCTTTCAATTTTTGAGTTTTTCTATTTTTTAAATTTTACAGTTTTCCATTATTCAGATTTTTAAGTTTTCGATTTTTCAGTTTTTCAAATTTTCAGTTTCATGATTATCGAAATTTTCATGTTTCAATTTTTCGATTGTTCAGTTTCCCAATTTTTCACTTTTTCAAGTTTTCCATTTCTCAATTTGTCACTTTTTTAATGTTTCGATATTTCGATTTCTCGATTTCTCTGTTTCGATTTTTCAAGTTTTAGATATTTCGTTTTATCGTTTTTTTTTTAAGTTTACGTTACAGTTTTAAATTTTCCGATTTTGGGCTATTTCGATTCTCAACTTTTCAATTTTTCAGTTTTCGATTTTTCAATTTTTTGTTTTTTTAAATTTTTGATCTTTGGATTTGTTTTTTGTTTTTTTTTTGTTTTTCGATTTTTTTAAATAATTTTTTTAATTTTGTATATTCATTTTTTCCATTTTTCTATTTTACGATTTTTTGATGTTTCGATTTTCCAAGTTTAAATTTTTTAATGTATTTCAATTTTGAAATTTTCGATGTTGGGCTGTTCGAATTTCTCAATTTTCCGGTTTTTCGACTTCTCGATGTTTTAATTTTTCAATTTCGATTTCTAGATTTTTTGGTTTTCTGTTTTTTCAATTTTTCGACACTTCAGTTTTCGGATTTTTCAATTTCCCGGTTTTAATAAAATCTAATGTGTTTCAGTTTTTCGATTTCTCGATATCCCGGTTTTTCGATTTTTGAAAATTTTCGACTTTTCGATTTTTCAGTTTTTCAAGATTTCTGATTTCGATATTTCGATGTTTCAATTTTGAATTTTTTGATTTTGAGCTATTTGAATTTCTCAATTTACAGGTTTTTCGCCTTCTGAATGTTTCGGATTTTTCAATTTCCCGATTTTAAATTTTCTATTGTGTTTTTATAGTTTTTCGATTTGTCGATATCTCGGTTTTTCGATTTTTGTAATTTTTCGACTTTTCGTTTTTTTGATTTCTCGATTTTTCAAGTTTTCGATTTCTCAATTTTGCAACATTTAAATTAAGGGATTTTTGAAATTTTTCGATATTTTGATTTTTTAAATTTTAATTTTTTCGTCTTTTTCTCGATCTTTCGATTTTGGACTATTTCGAGTTCTCAATTTTCCGATTTTTCGAGTTTTTGATTTCTCAATGTTTCATTTTTTCGACATTTCAGTTCTGGGATTTTTCAGTTTCCCGATTTGTCCATTTTCGATTTTGTGATTTTTTCATGTTTCTGTGTGCCAATTTTAAATCTTCTAATATATGTTTCAATTTTTCTTTTTTTCGATTTCTCACCATCTCGGTTTTTTGATTTTTGAAATTTTTCAACATTTCAATTTTAGGAATTTTCCAATTTCTGGATTTTTAAAGTTTTTGATGTTACGATTACTCGATTTTTCGATGTTGATTTGGGGTTATTTTCCACCTCTTGAACGTGCGAAGTTTTTCATTAGGAGGCTGATTGATAACGATAACGACATGTTTCGACTTTATTACATATTGAAGTCATCTTCAGGTTTTTACAAGCTAGTAACATGGATTTTTACAAAAGCTTAATGAAATTACAATGATTAAAATAATTAAAAGGTCCAACTATTTTTCGATTTTGCGGTTTTTCATTTTTTCGATTTTTAATTTTTTTTTCAATTTCTCTATGTATTTATCACTATTGTGATATTTTAGTTTTCTCGATATTCGATTTTTTGAAAAGCGTTTTTCTCGTTAGTTATCTGCTTTAAATATATTTCACGTTCTCAGTGCTGCGGACTATTTATACCACTGGTTTCTACTTTATAGAGATTAGCAAACATTTTTTTTTAATTTTTATGTTTCCAGGACCCACTTCTGGGAATGCTTCACCAAGTATTGACAGGCAAAAGCTTCGAACTCATTCTAGCAGTGGCCACAGTCCAAGGCCAGCTCCGAACCCTAGTGGCTCGCTTAATACGTTTCAACGAATGCTCGAAATCTGGCGGAGACAAAGCCAGAGCTCAACTTTTCGATATAAGTTTTCTAATGTTGGTGGCCATTGTCCAAAATTACGGCGCCAACGCCGTCCTAGATCCGGACGGAGAATCCCTCTTTGAGCAATGGGTGAGGTCCTGTATGGTAGAACGACAACGCCCGAAAGCCCCCGAGCAGTTGCTTCGCCTGGGCGACCCTGTCACCGTTGAGGTGCTTTTGCAGCAGTTCAATGCCGGCGAAACTGAGTTCAAGTCGACCGTTAAGTGGCAAGACGTGTTGTTCAATATGGCGGGGGTTATGCACGAAGTGTTGGTAGCGTGGGAGCAGGGAGCCTTGGTAGGAAACTTGGTTAAATTTAATATATCCAACCCTGGAACTGTTTTAATTTCCAGGCCCCTTCAGACGTCAAACGCATCCTGGACGCCGTCCGCGGCCGCATGTGCTGCCTCCCGCTCGCCGCCGCCGCCTGGTTGTGCGCGTACATGCGCACCGCCCCCCAGGAGAACCTCCTCAAGCCCGTCAACATGGTGCAGCAGCTCCTGGCGCCTCCAGCTGCCGAAGAAGACAGTCTACGCGAGCGCTGGCAGCTAACTTGCGAGATCATCAGGAAGATGCAGCGCGACGTACAGTTGCCTCTCCAAACTAAGAGCAGCCACCATTTGATCTCTCGGCAACCGGCAATCGAGCAGCTGCATTCCGCCTGGTCAGCGGCTATTCGTCGGGGTTGGTTGGACCATAGTTCGGCTAAGACTTTGCATTGTTTGTTGGACACGGCTGGACCTAGGTGGCTCGTGTCAGCCGTCGTCCAGGAGTTGATGAAGTTGAGGTATAGAGATCAGCTGCAGAGGGGTGTGGATTTGGCGCTGGCTGCGTTCCATGTGGATATTGGGGCCTGCACTCTAGAGCTATTGACGCATATTTTGCCGCAGATGTTGTATAATGATCTACAGGCGGATTCGTTAATGGAACCGCAGCTGCTGGCGTTGGCGTACTTGACGTGTTATTGCGTGTATACGGCGTTTGATGCTTTTACGGAGGTAAGTATCGATGTGTATTATTTTTCAGATTTTTACTTCCCGAGCGTAAGCTAAGGAAGTATAGTCATCGAGTACATCGGCCGAATTACCACTTTCATATTTTCTCGACCTCTAGAGTACAAAAAAGGTGGTCTCCTGTTTCCGTGTGTCTGTCTGGTGTATTCATTTTTATTAAACAAATAATCGCCGAAACTACTGGACTGATTGTTGTCATATTTTGTATGGGATGACGTCCAGAATTTTTGGAAAAAATTCAAAACCGAAAAACAATATTTTGCAATATATCTTTGAAACTGCAAAACCGAATGCTTTGAAATCTTGTAAATATTTTAAGGTTATCGTAATCATGGTAAATCGTTAAGCAAAATTTATTCATTTAGCCCCTTCTAAAATATCGATGACGTCATCTCAAAATTTTGCCGAATAAATCTTATCCAAAATATGCAAAATGAGTTATTGTGATTTATCATTGCATTAAAAGTTTTAGATATATTATACATATACAGGGTGACTCATAAAAGTTAATGAATGAGTCATTTGATTTTATTGATTAAATCGGGAACGGCTCACTCCATTGCCCGAAAATTGACGTCTAGAATACGAAAAACATAGATCTCTTGTTTCTGTCGTTTGTGTCCATTTTTGAATAGAAATCTCGTGTAAATGGTAAAAGTCTAACAAAAATTTGTTTGATAATAATCGATGACACCATCTTTCAATTTTGCCGAATAAATGTAAAAATTGTAAAATACATATGTACAATGTTAATTCTAGAAATTACAGAAATTCTAAAATTCTGACCGAATTTGTGGAAAGATTCCAAGTGTTGTGAACGTTCCAAATATTCTAAGCCTTTCAAAAGTTTTAAGGCTTTCAAGGGTGCTAAAAACTCTTAAGAACTAGGAATGTCAAAAAATTTAAAAAGCCGGAAATTTAAAAATTGTAAAGGGATTTCAAAAATTTCGAAAATTCCTGATTCCAAATATTTAAAAATTGAAAAGATGATATAAATCCTAAAGATCTAAAAATATTTAAAATTCTAGAGATACTGCAGTGTTTAAAAATAATGAAACTTGGAAAGCTCTAAAGATCATAGAAATTCTAGAGATTCAAGATTCTAAAGATTTCAAAGTTTGTAGTGGTTTGAAAGATTCAAAAAGTACAAAAGCTTTCGCGGTTTACATCCACTAGAAATTGCGAATTGTAAAGACACTCAAGATTCTAAATAAACTAAAGTTCTATTGTTCTAAATATAAAAAAGATCCAACAAAACCTTAAAAATTTTAAAGAACCTGGGGGTCCTAAGAGCCTAGAAATTGGAGAAATTTTAGGCTTTTTAAAAATCCTAGTGATTCCCAAAGTGTTCAAAATTTCCACAGATTGGAAAGACTCTAAAGAGTCTAAAGGTTAAATATTATAAAGGCTCAAAAATTCTGTTTCGAATACTTAAAAGATTCTAAAGGTTCTAGAGAAATTCCAAAAAGCCAAAGATTCTAGAACCTGTAAAAATCGCGTGAACTCCTAGAATGCCAAAGATTTTAAAAATTCTAAAGACTTTAAAGAAAACAAAAATCCTAAAGACCTAAAAATCGTAAATATGGGAAAAATGGTTTCTTTAATTTTTTTAAATCCTAAAAACACTGAAGGCCTTGAACACCCTAATATCTTCTTATATCTTATAATAAACTGTAAACATTCCGGAAATTCCAAAATTCCAAAGATTTAGACTCTTGAGATCTATAAATTTTAGAAAATCTGAAGAAATTTAGAAAGCGTGGGAAAAATGTGGTAGACCTAGAAATCTTGAAAATATGATTGGAAAATGTTGAATTTCAAAATTCTGATCATTTTGTGTACTTCGGAAAATCTGAAACATTGGGCTAATCTGGAAAATCTGAACATTCTACAAATTTTGAAAAATTTGCAGATTACAAAATTCCCGAAAATGAAAAGAAAATAAAAAAATAAAAATCTCAAAATTTCAAAAGTTTACACAATCATAAGATGTAGATATTCTAAAAATTCCAAAGTTTCAAACCTTTCAAAAATTCTAAAGACTCGACACGTTCTAAGAATCTTAAAGATTTCATATATGTACTAGAATTTGCGAATTGTAAAGACACCAAAGATGCTAAATAAACTAAAGTTTTAGGTTTTAAATAAAAGAAACATCCGACAAAATTTTAAAAATTGTAAATATCTAGGAGAATTAATGTTCTAAAGCTATAAAAATTCTAAACTTTATAAAGTTTTTAGTAATTCTGAAGTATGTGTCCAAAATTTCCAAAGATTGTAAAGACACTAAGGACTCTGAAAACTCTAAAAATTCGAAATACTCTAAGGACGTTAAACGTTAAAAACGTTTTTAAAATTATGTTCCAAACATTTCAAAGATTCTATCACTTGTAAAAAACGCATGAACTCTTAACACGACAAAAATTTTAAAGATTCCAAAGACTAAACAAAACAATAATCCTAAAAATCTGCAGAATGCTTCCTTTAATTGTTATAAATCCTACAAGTATTAGGGGTCTTGAACACCGTAAGTATTATCTTGTACATCTTAGATTCTAAAGATTCCAAAAATTTCAAAGACTCTTGGGGTCTATTGATTTTAGAAAATTTCGAAATATCTAGAAAGTGTGAAAAATCTGGAAGACCTAGAAATCTTGAAAACTGAGGAAAATGTTGAATTCTGGCATATCCGAAGACTGATATTTTTATAACATTTAGAAAAGCTGTAACTTCTGGAAATTTCCGAAAATTTACTCAGTTCTAGAAATTGTAAACATTTTACTGAATTTGTGAAAATATTCCAAATAGGTACTACGAAAGTTCAAAGTCTTCTCTAGATTTCAAAGATTTCGAGGATTCTAAACATTTTACTGAAGTTGTGAAAATATTCCAATTACTGTGGAAGTTCAAAGTCCTCTAAATATCAAAGATTTCGAGGATTCCAAGGGTTCCAAAACTCTAAGGAGTCTATTAATACTAAATTGATATGTGTCCTTGCTACAATGTTAATAACGTTATAAAAAAAAATAAGGAAAAACTTACTATAAAGATGAAAAAAAAAAGTTCAAATTTAAAGTTGATATAATTTTTCGAGGTTGTATTTGTTCGTCTGGAGTTTAGGGGCTAGGGAAGTTCTATCGAAATAACGTTCAACCAATTTTTTAATTTATTTTTTCATTGTTACTTCCCGAGCGTAAGCGAAGGAAGTATTGTATTCGAGTTCATCAACCGACGTTTTACGTTTTTTCGACATTTCATGACCTCGAGAGTACGAAGAAATACACGTCTGTCGGTGTGTCTATCTGCCGTTTGTTCGAAACTACCGGACTGATTATTGTCAATTTTATATGTATGTTAGGAATATGTATAGGAATTTTACCGTATTTAGCTTATAGAATTGGCTGAACTCAGGTACAATTTTGTGTGATCGTCAATCCTGATCTAATATGTAAATAACATTAAAACCAACAAATAAGCCGAAACTTCAGAAAAAACAAATTCGTGAGTTGTCGGCTCTGTGCCATCGCGTTTAAATTCTCATTTGTTGCAGGAACCCGAAGAACCTCTTGCCAAAGTCGCCCGTTTGAACGACAGCATGGAGGACGGATCTCCCATGGACCAGCTCGTCTCAGCCCTGCGACAACTATTAATAATTTTTGAAGACGGCATCCACGAAGGCTACATTACTCAGCAAACTTACTTTGCCTTCTACTTGATTAAGGGTCTGGTGGAGGTGAAAATTCCGACGGCCAATGCACTCCTGGCCGCCATCCCCCCGGCTCTTATCACCGACTTACTGAGGACACTCCCAGAACTGTTCACCTACCCAATCCTGCTGCATTTACACGACGTTCGTAGCACACACGGTAGAAACAACATGGCCAAAGATCTCTGCGTTCTGCGCAACTATCATTTAAGGAATGTATCGCAAGAGAGTAGTAATGTTTAAGTGTATTTTGTAAGTAAATCGTTTTATTCTTCCAAATGTCGAACATGCTTACATAAAATATTCAATTGATTCTGAATGCCAGGCTTAATATAATTATATACTCTTGCCCTGTCAACGTAAGTGATAGCTTGATGTACATAAATTATACAAACGTAAATCTAAAGTCCATTTTCTTATATACACTTTGAATAACTGCTACTTCACTAATCCTAGCTTCTTCGCTTCCACTTCATAAATTATCAACCTCCACATCTTCACAACGAAAACTTCTGCTTCTTCATCTAATACCTGCAAACCAGTGTTACCAACCGTTTAAAACGCGACTCCACTTACCATTTGGACGTCTTGTAATATGACTTGCGGCTGAGACCCCGCCAGAACTTTGGAACAAATAAAATCGACCAGAGTGGGCTCTGGTTCCCCTATATACTCAATAATTTTTTTATTGATCCAAGGGCGTATTTTCCTCTCCATTAAACTATTATCGATCGCCGACCAATCGAGCTGATACGCGAAAAGCGCATCTTTCTCAGTTGGAATTTTTTCTATTAACGATTTGATGTGTTTTTTCTTTTCCTCCTGGGACTTTATAGATTCTTCTGATTTTTTCTCACCTTCTTTCTCTTTCTTATTCTTTTTATCTTCGCTGTAGTCCAAAGGAACGAGTTTCCGCTTCTTCACTTGCGTGTTGCTGTCGTCTTCATCGGGATTGAAGACCTCGCGAAGATCCAACTTTTTGCGTTTCGGGTCGCGTTGTTGGTTTTGAGGGCTGAAGGTGATGGGTTTAGCTAGGGTGATCTTCATTCCTGTACCAGTGGGTGGAGGGGGATTTTCCTCGTGGTTTGAGGTAAACGAATGTCGGGAGTCTTCGTCGCCAACTTGCACTTGAGTCCACTAAAAAGTAAAAAGAAAAATTGTTATTAAACACTTCAACTATACTTATTTTTTTTATTAAGTAACACAAGTAAGTAAACTTACTTTTGCTGATTCTGAGTCATCATTAGAGTTGGCATCTGGTTCTGGTGGGGCTGGACTGTAGTGATTGTCATCCATGTCACTGTCACTGTCAATGGGTTCAGCCTCCACTGCTGCCAACTCCTGAGCCGCTTGCTGCATTACATATTTCTCTCTTTCTTCTCTTTGTCTTTGTCTATCTCTTTGTCTTTCGACTTCCCTGTGACGTTCCCTTTCTCTCGCTTTTTGCCGCTCCATTTCTCTCTCCTTTTCTTTTTCTTTTTGCTTCCAGTGTTCTAAATTAACATCAATTAGCAACTTGGGTCTGTACTGGTCTTCTTTCTCTTTCTTCGCCCGTTCAAACTCAGCATTTGGATCTTCATGTTCGCCCGAAAATATTCTACTCTTCAATTCTTCGATTTCTTCTTTCTCCTTCTGCCTATCTCTACTATCGAGTTCCGCTTCCTTCACGCGTTCCGCTAGCCTCCTCTGCAGTTCCCTTCCCCTACAAAAAACACACCATAAATAACAAAATTCCCTATGGAACTCCCCCATACTTGTAATACTTGATGTCGTCCCTCTCATCATCATAATCCTCCAGAAATTCCTTCAGCCTCTTCGCTTCGTGCTCCCGCTCCTCCTCCTTTAGTCTTTCCTTCTCCCTTTCCTTTTCGTATTCCTTCGCCTTCCTCCGTTCGCGCGTCTCCCACGCCCTTAACCTCTCCTGGTACGCCGCCTCTTTCTCCCTAGCCCTCCGCTCCGCCTTCTTCTTCTCCTTCGCCTCCTCCTCCATCTCCTTCTCCTTCAACAAATCCTTGGCACTTTTCTTCTCTTCCCTCTCTCTTTCGCGTTCCCTCAACTCACGTTCTCTCTCCCGTTCGCGTTCTCGCTCCCTCTCGCGTTCCCGCTCCCTCTCTCTGTCCCTTTCTCGCTCTCTTTCGCGTTCACGCTCTCGCTCCCTGTCTCTCTCGCGCTCACGGTCGCGCTCCCTCTCGCGTTCTCTGCTGTGCTCGTGCGTCCTATAATCGCACAATTATATCATGTACAATGCGCAAAATGACGAACTTACCGTGATTTCGATCTTGACCGCCGCCTTCTCTTGTCATCTTTTTCCCTTCTTCGCGGGCTCGGCGAGTGCGAATGCGATTTCTCACGGTTCTTCTCCTTCTCTTCTTTTTTCCGTTTGCTGACTTCCTTCTCTTCCTCTTGTTTCTAAAATAGAAACGACCGGAAATTAATGATCTAGTCGAAAGTCACGTTTAAATTAATATTTATTTGAAAAAGTTTTTCTCATACCACTGGATGATCAGGTATACGTTACGGATTTTTTAAAATTAAATCGTTCAATTTATCTTTTTTATTGTGTTGGCATTTTTCATTCAATGCTGTAACGAGTTAGAAAATTTTAAACATGTTAGTTCATAGGGGTTTATACAGGGATAGCTTTTATTGTTAATGTTTATGGACCAATAAATTATATCCAGAGAAAGCCATTCGAAAATATTCCAAAAATGGTTTCCACAGGTAAGGAGATTCGAGAAGGAACTGTTTTATTCAGAATTGTGTCTAGCGATGAAGCGGATTTTTAAAGTGAATTTTTGTGTATAAACATATTTTTTTCGAATCGGAACACCTCTATTTTGGACATAAATTCGTACTTTTCAGAGCGTTTAAAATTGTATATTTTTTTATAATTTAACTATTCGTGATAAAACTGTTTTTATTAAAAAAATAAAAATACGATTTTATTTGTAACTATTATATATATTTGTGGTGATTTTCAAATCTGTATTTTTTTTGTTTCTTCAGTTTTTCGATTCGAAAATTTTCGAGTTTTCAAGTTTAAATTGTTTGATTTAAAATTTCTCAAGTTTTTAATTTTTTTCGATTCTTTAATTTTTCATTTCCTCAAAGTTTCGATTTGCAATTTTTGTTTTGGTTTTTTTATTTTCTTTATTTTTAAATTTTTTGATTTTTCAATTTTACGATACACAACTTTTCATTTTTAAATTTTTCAGACTTTCGAATTTCCAACTTTTGAATGTTTCAAATTTTGCTCTTTTTCAATGTGATATTTTTCAATTTTTTGATTTTTGAATTTTAGATAGTTTAATTTTTCGTCTTTTCAATTTAAAATTTTTCAGTTTCTCGATTTTTCTATATTTTTTTTTAATATGTGATAATTACTTTAAAAAATTTTCACTTTTGCAATTTTATTTTAGAATTTTTCCATTTTTCAATTACTGGATTCTTTCGAGTTGTCATCCAATTTTCCAACTTTTGGATGTTTCAATTTTTAATTTTCTCAAATTTTCGATTTACAATTTTTCATTTCAGTTTTTATTTTCTTTATTTTTTAAATGTCTCTAGTTTTCAACTTTTATTTTTCTGAATTTTTCGTTTTGGTTTTTAATTTTCTTTATTTTTACAATTTCAATTTTATCAATTTTCGTTTTTTCAATTTGACGATGCACAAACCCCTCAACTTTTCGTTTTTAAATTTTTCAGTTTCTCGATTTTTCAATTTTTTGTTTCTTTAATTTTTGATTTGCAATTTTTCTAGTCTTCATTTTAAATATGTAATAAGTACTTTGAGATTTTCCGATTTTCGACTTTTTCCAATTTTCAATTATTGGATTCTTTCGAGTTTTGATCTTTAAATTTTTCAATTTTCCGATTTTCCAACTTTTGGATGTTTCAGTTTTTAAATTAAGCAATTTTTGATCTGCATTTTCATGAGTTTTCAATTTTTAATTTCTCAACTTTTCATTTCCTCAAATTTTCGATTTGCAATTTTTCATTTCAGTTGTTTGTCTTTATTTTTAAAATTTCTCGAGTTTTCAATTTTAATTTTTTCAATTTTTCGTTTTGGTTTTTATTTTCTTTATTTTTACATTTATTTTTATTTTTCAATATTCCTATTTTATAATTTTTTGTTTTTTCGATTTCAATTTTTTCAATTTGCGTTTCTTTAATTTCACGATACACAACTCCTCGACTTTTCATTTTTAAATATGACATTTTTCAATTTTTTGTTTTTTCAATTTAAAATTTTCAGTTTCTCAATTTCTCGTTTATTCAATTTCTGATTTGCAATTTTTCTAGTTTTCATTTTAAATATGTAATAATAATTACTTTAAAATATTTTCACTTTTTCAATTTTACGATTTTAGAATTTTTCCATTTTTCAATTATTGGATTCTGTCGAGTTTTGATCTTTAAATTTTTCAATTTTCCGATTTTCCAACTTTTGGATGTTAAAGTTTTAATGCAATTTTCGATCTGCATTTTCACGAGTTTTCAATTTTTCATTTCCTCAAATTTTCGATTTGCAATTTTTCATTTCAGTTTTTTATTTTCTTTATTTTTAAAATTTCTCGAGTTTTCAATTTTTCGTTTCGGTTTTTTATTGTCTTTATTTTTACAATTTTTTGATTTTTCAATTTTCGTGTCTTCAATTTTACGATACACAACTCCTCGACTTTTCATTTTTAAATTTTTCAGGCTTTCGAATTTCCAATTCTTGGATGTTTTGAATTTATCTTTTGTTCAATTAACATTTTTCAGTTTCTCTATTTTTCAATTTTTGATTTGCAATTTTTCTAGTTTTCAATTTTACGATTTTAGAATTTTTCCATTTTTCAATTATCGGATTCTTTTGAATTTTCATCTTTAAATTATGCAATTTTTGATCTGCATTTTCAAGAGTTTCCAATTTTTCATCTCGGTTTGTTATTTTCTTTATTTTTAAAATCTTTCGGTTTTCAATGTTCTGAACTTATTTTTTCTTTTTTCAATGTGAGATTTTGCAACTTTTAGATTTTTCAATTGTAGATTTTTGAGTTACTTGATTTTTCAATTTCTCGTTTCTTAAATTTTTAACTTTTCGAATCAAAAGAAAACTTCGAAAAATCTAGAAATTGGAAATCAAGAACTTGAAAACTTGAAGAAACGAAAAATTGAAAAATCGAAAAGATTGAATTGAAAAATTTAAAAACCGAAAAACTGCAAACGAAAAAACGAAATATGTATTATAAAATTGACATATTGAAAATTAAAGAAATCGGAAAAAGGGATAAATGGAAAAACAAAAATTGAAAAATCGAAAAATTAAAAACTCAGAAACTGAAAAATTAAAAAATAAAAAATTGTATTACAGAAATATTGCAAAATTTGGAAGTCGAGAAATTGAAACATTGTCACATCAAAAACTTGGTCGAATAGTCAGATTTTTCGAAAAATTATAAAATTTGAAAAATCTGGATGTCTAGAGTAAAAATTGAACACGGATTCATTAACCACATGTGAAGGATGATTTTTTTTTACGAAATTGAAATAATATTTACTAATTTAAATTTTGGAGATGAGTCCATCCTATTGTTGGTGGGTATGTTTATCCAAATTTTGGTCGGCATTTCAGCGATTATCTGTCTAATACAAATTCGGACAGACGGCAGACAGAGAAACAGATGGAAATGGGAGACCTATTTTTTCGCACTGTTAGGGTTATGAAACACCGAGAAAACATAAAAGTATTTAGTCGTCCGATGGACTCGATTACAATACTTAATAAAAATCTAAGTTAATATTAGATCTTTCGTTGCTTTAAACTATTTTAGAAAGATGGAATTAGTTTTTGAAAAATTTTCAAAATTTAAACGAGTTACTATTCCAAATGAACAAGTAGTTTTTTATTTGTCGATGTATATTAAAGCGTAATTTATAAATCCACCATCGTCTGACTATATAATTCTAAATAAAACAGTAGCAGCAAAAAATCCAGGATTTCGAGTCTAGGATTAGGTGAAACATCACACTTCCAACTTTCAAATATTTTCGAATGAATTCGTATGCTTAAAAATAAATATGAAGACATTTCTACATGTACTGTTTTAACTTACTCTCGCAACAGACGACATAAATCCTTACTGAACTTGAGATACGTCCCCAACTTGCGAATCTCCACAATTTCGACGATAACAAATTACACCACGGACTATAACTTACAAATACAGCCCGTGGCACAAAAACTAACTAATATTACCAAAAAGTGGACTAATAATAACAATAAATCTCATCAACACAAATCGTTACAATCATTCCTCCATTCTAATCAAAATCCATCCAAAAAATTACTCAATTGTAACTATTTATGTATCGAACAATAAACAGGAGAAAAATCATATTCAAACAGCACACACACATTTTAACGTAGCGCAATCAAAATGTGACAGGCTTCAAGAAAGCAAAAAACACACGTTTTAAAATATGTGTGTGTATTTAATAAGGTACAGTGGAGATAACTGTTGACACGTTACTCACCAGCGGCGCCATGGGCCGAACCTAGGTGGGACTGCGTTGCTTCCATTTGCCTGTTTGGTTTCAAGCACCATATGAGCGCAACCTTACTTCTAATACTTTGAATTTAAAAAAAATCACCCCCCTGCCCTCACATGAATTTCGAAACAACAACTGAAAATTCATACATTTTCAGTCAACTCTGCCCGAATTGCATTGATATGCCCCATTTTAGATAAGTGTCTTAAATGTGAAAATATTCAACTTACTTTCATGATCTCTCGGAACTTCCCGATCTCTCTCGTTATCAAATCGCGTTTTTCTTCTTCTACGTCGGCTTCTTCTAACACTTTATGACACTTTTCTATCACCTCCTCTGCAAACAATGACGAGTTAGCACTCTTACCGACGACGGCAGACTAAAATTCTCCAACAGAAGAAAAATTCCTCTCTAAAAGACCATCAGTCTGCCCTCTTGAGTCGTGCGACTTACCTTCTTTTTTAAGCTCGAAGTTATTCATTTCGTCTTCATACTCACAGAGAATCTGTTTAATTCTTTCCATGGCCACGGCATCCAGGGCTTGGGTTTCTTCGTCCAAGACGTCCTCTTCGGGCTCGTCCTGGAGCGGCGACGACCCCTTTTCCTTTTTTCTTCTTTCGGCTGAAGAAAATCGCGATTAAAATTCGAACACCCGCCCCCACTTAGCTCAAACAACAAACTTACATTTATCGTACTTATACAAATTTACTGCTATATACTGAAGAGAAGCCATTAAAATGAACATCGAAATTCAAGCAATCCACCGAGACCCTTACCTTTGTATTCATCTAGTACAGTCTTTGTCTTGGCGTCGACTTTCGCCACTAGCCGCTTGTCCCCGACCATAAGATCGTGAAGTAACCTAACAGCCCTTAAGCCGGCGTCAGGTCCAGCTAGTTCACAAAAACCAAATGCTTTTACCTTCTTCCAGCTAATGACGTGTCCGCAAGCGGCGAGAATTTGTCGGATCATCGCGTCGGGGGCTCTTTCCGTAATGTTTCCTGCGAAAGGCGATTGATATTTATAATAATAATAAAAACGAGGTAATAATAATATTTTTATTCAAACGTCAGCGATAAAGACATGTTTCTGATTTCCGTCTGTCCGTCTGTTGGCGATTTTATTTAAAAAGTATTTCTCGAACTAAAGGACAGATTTTTATTATGAAATTCTAGGTATATAATCAGAATCTCAACCTGGTTTATCCATTCCAAAACAAAGTAAGAGCACTTTTACAACTCCATCTGTTCGGTAAACGACGTGGAGTTACCTAGAGTTCACTCATATTTTTTAGAACTGTTCATATAGTAATAGCAACTGCATTCCTAGGATCTTTAAAAAATTAATGAAACAATGTAGATATATTATAATTTTGAAATGTTTATATTTCAGTTACTTTCAAATAGACCATCCTGTATATAATGGTCTCTGCTTTTTCTATTTTAGATACATCAACACACTCAAGCAAAAAGTATATAAAACAGAGTAAGATACAGTCATAAAATACAGGATGTTCAATCCGAAAAAACTGAACTATCGGTATTTGAAAATTGTAATATTTTTGATTTTTTTATAAACACTCTGTGTATTAAGATTTCATTTAACTGATACATAACAAAGCGGGTAGCTCTATATTTATCTCCATAAAGTACTGCAATATAATAGACGTTAAAAATAAGACTATTGGGATTTTTTTTGTAAATCTTTACATTATTAAAAAAATTGGTTGGAGGTTATTTTGACAAAACTTCCCTGCGCAGCCCAACAAATCCCGTTTCTTTGCTTTTTTTTTTGATAACCTTTATAAAGTAAAAACTAGTAGCGTATAAATAACACTTCTGTAGCTTTTTTGACTTGAATTTTTCATTTCTTCAATTTTTAATTTGTTCGATTTTTCAATGTTTCGATTTTATAGTTTTTTGTTTTTTCAGTTTCAACATTATCGATTTTTCGTTTCTTAAATTTTTCGATTTGCAATTTTTGATTTTTTTTTGTTGCTTCACTTTTACGAATGCAACTCTTCGAGTTTTCATTTTAACATTTTTCAGTTTTTCGAGTTTTCAGTTTTTAATTTTTCAATTTGGAATTTTTCGTTTCAATTTTATTTTCATTATTTTTTCAATTTTTCATATCTTCAATTTTTAGATTTTGCAACTTTACGAATAAAAATTTCTCGAATTTTCAGTTTTTAATTTTTAGATTCTTTAATTTTTCATTTCTTCAAATTTTTTAATTTTTCAATGTTCCAATTTTATAATCTTGTTTTTTCAATTTCAATTATTTCAATTTTTTGTTTCTTAAATTTTTCCGTTTTTGGATTTTCCAACTTTTGGATGTTTCAATTTTTCAGTTTTTAATGTTTCAATTTGCAATTTTTCGTTTCAGTTTTTTATTTTCATTATTTTTTCAATTACTCGTTTTCTTAATGTTTCGATTTTATAATTTTTCGTTTCTTCAGTTTAACGATTCTGCAATTTTTCGAATTAAAATTTCTCAAGTTTTCAATGTTCCGATTTTATAATCTTTTGTTTCTTCAATTTCAACTATTTCAATTTTTCGTTTCTTCAATCTTTCAATTTTTAATTTTCTCGATTTTTTTATTTTCCAACTCTTCGATGTAAAATTTTTAGATTTGCAGTTTTCACGAGTTTCCAATTTTCAATTTTTCATGTCTTCAATTTTTCGGTTTTTCAATATTCTGATTTTATTAAATGTTTTTTTAATGTGAAATTTTTGAATTTCTCGATCTTTCAACTGTCAGATTTTTGAATTTTTCTTTTTTAGGAACCAACTTTTGGACGTATGAATTTCTTAATTTGCAGTTTTACGAGTTTTCAATTTTTCGGTTTTTTGTTTTATTTCATTAATTCAATTTCTTTTATTTTATTGTTCTTTTTTTCAATGTGAAATTTTCCAACTTTAAAACTTTGGAATTTTTCCATTTTTTAAGTATCAAGTTTTAGAACTTTTTTATTTACTCGAATTTTAATTTTTCTATTTTTTGATGTTTCAATGTTATTCGACAATTTTAACAATCCTATAATTTTTCGATTTTACAATTTTTCGATTCATTGGTTTTTTCGATTCATTGGTTTTTTCGATTTTTGATTTTTCAATGTCTCAATTTTTCGATTTAAAATTTCTATTTCCAATTTTTCATTTCGGTCTTGTTTTTCTTATTTTTACAAATTTTCCGATTTTCCAACTTTTGGATAATTAAATTTCTAGATTTGCAATTTCACGAGTTTTCAATTTATTTTCAGTTTTTCATGTCTTCAATTTTTCGGTTTTTTCTTTTATTCAACTGATTCAATTTCTTTTCTGTTATTAATTTTTCTTTTATCAATGTGGAATTTTTCAACTTTACGATTTTGGAATTTTTCCATTTTTTAATTATTGGATTTTAAAACTTTTCAATTTATTCGAATTTTGATTTTTCAATTTTTCGATGTTTCAATGTTACAATTTTTGAAAAATTTTGACAATAATTCTATAATTTATAGATTCGATTCGTTTTATTTTCTTCTTTCCAATTAATCGATTCATCGGTTTTTTTCGATTTTAAGTCTCTCGATTTTTAGTTTTTCAATGTTTCAATTTTTCGGTTTTTTAATTTTTCATTCTTCAAATTCTCGATTTGCAATTGTTCATTTCGGTCTTATATTTTTCTTATTTTTACAAATTTCCCGAATTTTCCATGTTCCGATTTGCAATTTTTCAATTTTTTGTTTTTGTTTCTTTAATTTTGCGATATACGACTCTTTAACTTTTTATTTTAAAATTTTTCAGTTTTTCGATTTTCCAACTTTTGGATGTTTATGAAATTTCTAGATTTGCAGTTTTCAATTTTCAATTTTTCATGTCTTCAATTTTTCTTTTTTTCAATGTGAAATTTTTCAACTTTCAGATTTTTTTATTTTTGGTTTTTTCAATTTCAGATTTTTCAGTTTCTAGATTTTTCAACTTCATGATTTTGAAATTTTTCGATTTCTCGGTAAATTAATTGTTTCAATGTTACAGCTTTTAGACAATTTTGACAATTCTATAATTTTTCGATTCGTTGTTTTTTTTCGATTTTTAAATTTCTCGATTTTTAGTTTTTCAATGTTTCAATTTTTCGTTTCTTCACTTTGATTTTTCGATTTAAAATTCGTTTCAGTCTTATATTTTCGTTATTTTTACAAATTTTTCGATTTTTCAAGCTTCCGATGTGCAATTTTTCAACTTTTAATTTTGTTTTTGTTTCTTCAATTTTGTAATATGCAACTCTTCAACTTCTTATTTTAAAATTTTTCAGTATTTCGACTTTTCAACTTTCACGAGTTTTCAATTTTTCCTGCCTTCAATTTTTCGGTTTTTTCTTCTATTGAATAACTCAATTTCTTTTTTTCAATGTGAAATTTTTCAACTTTTAGATTTTTTAATTTGTTGTTGTTTGTTCAGAATTTTCAGTTTCTAAATTTTTCAACTTTACGAATCTTTTAATTATTGGATTTTAAAACTTTTTCATCGATCCGATTTTTAATTTTTCAATTCCTCGATATTTAATTTTTCAATTTTTCCATGTTTCAATGTTACAGTTTTCCGAAAATTTTATAATTTTTCGATTCATTGGTTTTTTCGATTTTTAAGTCTCGTTTTTTAGTCTTTCGATGTTTTAATTTTTCGTTTCTTTACTTTAATTTTTCTTGTTTCTTCAACCTTTTGGATTTAAAATTTCTGGAGTTTTCAATTTTCGAGTTTTTAATTTTTCATTTATTAAAATTTTCGATTTGCAATTTTTCAATTTTTAATATTGTTTTTGTTTCTTCAATTTTGCGATATGCAACTCTTCAACTTTTTATTTTATAATTTTTCAGTTTTTGAACGATTAAATTTCTAGATTTGAGTTTCACGAGTTTTCAATTTTCAATTTTTCATGTCGTCTATTTTTCGTTTGTCTTTTTTTAATTCAATTAATTGAATTTCTTTTATTTTATTAATTTTTCGTTTCTTCAATTCCTTGATTTTTCAACTTTACGATTTTGGAATTTTTCCATTTTTTAAATATTGGATTTTAAAACTTTTTCATTTATTCGAATTTTAATTTACAAATTCTCCAAATTTAATTTTTCATTTTTTTTCTTTTATTCAATTGATTTACTGTCTTTTATTTTATTAATTTTTCTTTTTTTCAATATCAGATTTTTCAACTTTACGATTCTGGAATGTTTTCATTTTTTAATTATTGGATTTTAAAACTTTTTCATTCATTCGATTTTTAAGTATCTCAATCTTTCACTTCTTCAATGCTTCGGGATTTGCAATTTTTCATTTGTCCTTTTTTCAATTTTTGGAATTTTCAACTTTTCGAATGAAAAAAATGGAAACGCTGCAAATTGAAAAAACGGAAAACTTTGAAAAATCTAAAAACTATTTATTTTATTCAATTATGTTTTCCAACAGGCCGGAGGCCCAACTACAGGGAAACAGGATATACACAACACCCAGACGCTGGGCTGGAATCGAACCCACGACCCAAGGTGTAGCGGGGAAGCACGATGCCAACTACCCACCTGGGTCCTTTAACTAGAATCAAGAAATTGAAAAATTGAAGAACGAAAATTGAATAGTGGAAGATTAAAAATTGAGAAACTTACAAATGGAAAAAGTGAAATATGTATTGTAAAATCTAAATATTGAAAATTGAAGAAATAGAAAATTCGGATATGTAATTGGAAATCCAAAAATTGCAAAATTGGAAAACTGTAAAATCGAAAAATGGAAAAATCAATCAGAAAATTAAAAATCGGAAAAATGAAAACTAAAATTCAAGAACTTGAAAAACTCTGGAAACGAAAAATTGTACAATATTGAAAAATATACAAAATAGAAAATTTGCAAATCGAAAAGTTGAAGATATGAAAAATTGAAAAATTTGGAAGTCGAAATATTGATAAATTGAAAAAACGAAAAAATGTGATATCAAAAAATTGGTCGAAGGTAAATAAAACCGATTTCTCGAAAGCCTCATTTTTTAGTCACCCTGTATAAGTAAATCTAAAAACTATGAGAGCATTGATAAACCACAAGTATAGAGTTACAATGTTTTGCGTATTTCAGAGTTTTTTTGGGAGAGGATACATACGAATACATTTTGATTAACGATTTACCCATGATTACGACAACCTTAAATCGTTTTAAAGATTTCAGAGAATTCGGTTTTACTCTTTTAAGGTTAAATTGCAAAATGTTTTATACAGTTTTGATTCTTTTTTACAAAAAGCTCGATGCATCCTACTTTATAAAATAAAAAAAATATTAGTGCAAATTTTTGAAACAACATCCCATTAGTGGTGGGGATGATCAGCCAAATTTTGATTAGCGTTTTACCATCTACATGATATTCCTAATGTACATATAAAATTTGACAACAAACAAACAACAGACAGACGGAAACGGGAGTCCACTTTTTTTTACTCTAGAGGTCATGAAACGTCGAGAAAACATGAAAGTTGCAGTCGCATTGGAATTTCAAAAATAAAATGGTTGTAAAGATCTAATGATAACAATTAATGAAACATCTATATATTATAACTTAAAAAAGATGATTTCAGTTATTCAGTTTTAAACAAACAGCAAATCCTTACATGACTGCACAAAATAATGAATATGAAAATTGCTTGCTTATTTAAAAATCTAATTTGGGAATATGAAATATTTATATGCATAATAAAACAACTTCTGTCTGTCGATTATTTGGCTCCATAACCAACCATCTATTAATAACAAATAACAACATTTAAGTCACCTTGTTAAACTCAGTGCTATTTATTCTTGTGCTTTGAGTAACAAAGTTTCAAAGTCTCTTTGTACTTTTCCAAGACCGAAAAATCGCCCCTTTCATAATTAGTTTACAAAATACATGCAGTTGCATTCTGCGACTTTATTTTTCTACACTTTAGACCGACCGGTGCTGGTACTTACCGACGAATACTGTGACGGCGGGACCCTGCATCTGCTTCAGCTGCTCCCTACTGGCGTTCAGCCGAGGCAAAGCCCGAATTTGGGGGGCGCTTGTTACCTGAATAGGTACCATCTGTCAAAGTTAAGATTTCCACTAAAGACAACATCTAGACAACCAGGCGGGGACTTACATGTTGCAAAGGCATGACGGCGGGCATCAAGGGGGGCGCGGGCCCCCCCATGGACATATATGCCATTGGAAGACCTTGCATTATTGGGGGGCGGCCTGGGTATGACATGGTAGTTTGGGCCAAAATCAGGACATCCAAGCGAGGCGAAGTAGGGCTCAACTAGTACGGCACTGGTGGTATTGCACTATTTGTTTACGGTAGCGTAATATTTAGTCAGTTTTTTTGATTAAAAACGCATCAAGAACGAGTTTTTTGGTGAATTAATAAGTTTCGCAAGAAACGCTTGTGGAGTCTCACATGTCAATCGCGACAACAGTGGCGCCAACGTTACTTGTACCAACTTAGCGTGAGAAATAACTAGGTTTTGGCGGGCAGCTCAATCGACCGTGCTTGGTAGTTGTTTCGTTTCATTTAACAATAAAACGAATTGTGTAACTAAAGAACTACGTTTATTGTGTTCACTTAGAATTTTTCACTTCAATATCGTGACAGTGACGACAGTGACATTTACTAAACAAGATTTTTGGAGCTCATACTAAATTTCCTACTAAAATGTCTCGACAAGAGTTTCCCATAGCGCTATCACATGCAGTTTTGGCTGGAACCAGTATCTACTGTCTCAGCGAGGTTAAAAACATGGACCCTTTTTGTCCCCAAATCACTTACGGGATTATAGCTACTAACAGTATTCTGGGAGTAATATGGTGGCTTATGGATTATAACTCAAAATTAAATGACATAGTGAGGCTTACCGCCTACTGTCAACTTCTTTTTGCTCTTCCGTGTATCACTACTACCGTATGGCTGCAAAATGGGTATGCGAAAGACTGGAGCTGGGCATGGGCTGTGGTACCAATCTTCCCGCTTTTGATGTATATACTGCATACTGATATCGATATGCCCCTTGCTGATCTTATCATTGTGTTTAATATAGTCGGATTGGGAGTAGTGTCTTTTGTTAAAGAAATAAACTATGGCATTGGAGCGGTTGTAGCTTATATTGTAGCTCATGGTTACGGAAGAAGACTGGATTTAACCAGACAAGCGTTGTATAACTATGTTATGTGCGTTTTTGCCTACTGTTCTTTGAGAGCCATTGGACGTGGGCAAGATCTTTTTTAGATAATGATATGTGATTCACAAATCTCTCAGTCTGATGGATTAATTACTTTTGTTGTAACAATAAAATGAAAGTGTGGAAAGTTCAACCTAAAGGTTGTTTTATTTATCGGTCATATTTAGAAAAAAAACCTGACTTTGTTTTGTAAATTTATTGAAAAACATTATAATAACAGCTACTTATTCAATAAGATCTCTTTAAACTTATCACTGACATGTTCTTAAAAATCGTTTCCTTATTCCTAGACTGAAAAATAAAAATATCAAATTGGAAAATCGGAAATGACTTGTATTGTCTATACAAAACTATATTAAATATGTATAATCTTATAATCATCATATATACAATAAATAAATAAATAAATACAACTTGCTGATGTATCTACTAAACAATATCTATCACACTATTGGTTAGCCTGAAAATATCATTAAGCTAGAAATCCTACAATAGTACATAAAAATATTCTTCAGGTCATGTTTTCGGTAAAGCAGTACGTTCAGATTTCTCACCATAATACTGACTCAAGTTTCGGGAATTGAGGAGCTTAAACATGAAGGATGTGTAAGGATCAATCGATTTTCCGAGAGTAGTCGTTGGGGCAAATCTGTCCATTTCTTGGAATGAACTTTTCTTCATGACTTAAACTAAACAAGTTGGCAAATTCGGCTTTCTTTTCCGCATAGCTCAGGAAGTTATCTGAAATGGTTAAACTTAGTTGGACATTCTCCAAGACAACGACCTCACCAAAAGTAATGTATCCGAGTTTGTTTCTGTCTACTTGTCCGAAAATTTCGTAAGCGTAGTCTTTACTGAAGGCTAACGTATGGAAAAGGGCTTTGCTGAAATCTTCAGGTGAAAGCCTTCCACAGCCACTGGTGTCATATATCTGGGGAAAGAAATGAGTGTTGGCCGATAAAGTAGTGCAAATACGAACCTTACAAGCTAATTTTACTGCATCTAGGGTTGTTCTGCTATTTGACAATGCTAACACTCCAAGTAGGTAGTCTCTAAAATCGATAGCACCAGTACAGTTCTGTAAAAAGTTGATTAGGTGTTTAATCTAAATAAAAAGTGGTTGATTTACCTTATCATATAATCTGAACAAATGTTGTGTAGCATGATCGCTTGGTGACAAATTTAATAATTTACAGAATTCTGGGAAGGTTACTTTGGTGCAGTTTTCACAAAGAATGTTGGAATTAAGGAGATTTTCTTCTACGTTGGCTTGGTGTAGGCTGCAAATTGTGATACAACGAATTAAAATTAAAATAAAGTTGTAATTATTAAACAAAACCCACCTCAGCCTATGCCTCAATTTTTGTACTTCAACCAGTGACGTCGAATTAGGCAAATTCATCTCTTTAGCCCTCGCCATTAATTTGCAATCTCCGTACGTATAATCCGAAACCGGAACTCCTAAAGCCCTAAAACAAAAATCATCCCATTACGCGAACACTTCTTTTCCTCCCTAACACATACTTTGCCATAACGGCCCTAACATTATTAGCAAACAGCTTTGGATCCCTCTTTTCCTCCTCGTTTGGGTTATATACTGGAAGAAACTCGATTTCGCAGTAGCTGTAGGGTTGTGTTAAAGTCAACCATAAAAGTTTTAACCTGTAATAATAAGTTAACAAAAGAGAAAATGTGTTGGTAAGAGTGCGTACGCGCTCGGGCCTTCCCACGTCCACGTCACCGTGTCCAGTTTATTTGGATACCTGATACACACAGGCTGGATGGGAACCCCGGGATAGAATGCCCCAGGTTTGAATGTGATCAAACATGATCTGTTCGTACATGTTCCTTCTGGAAAAATGAGAATTTGTGGCCAGTCTAAACTCGACGTTGCTCTGCTGATTATCTCTTTTATGGTGTTCTGACGGGAGTCTGGGTCGTCTCTCCAGACGTACACAGGTTGTGTGAAGTTGATCATCTCTGGAAAAAAAGTACAGTTGGTTTTTGGTTTAGTTGTTTCTCAACAGGGTGTTTGTTGTTCTTGTTTTCGGAAGGAAAATTCGACTTAACACTTTTGTTTTCAAAGAACACAATATGTGCTTTAGTGTTATACAAACTAAACAAATAAGTGGAAAGTTTTAATACGTCCGAATTTTTGGAATGATTTGTTTGAAAGGTACAAGTACGTCTAACATTAGAACAATTTATTATTCAAAAACTTCTAAAAAAAATTAAGTATTTTTTGTAGGTAGAAATATAAGTATGTAGTTACATATTTAGTTAGATTTAGAATTAGTCTGAAACTTTAAAACAAATTTGTGAAGCAGATACTGAGTGACTATTAATGCTTGTGAATTTTTTTTATCAGGTTGGCCACATATTTAAAAAAATATATGATACCGCCAAGTACCGACGTTGCCAAATTGTGCTCTGCATGAATATAGTACATAATTAACATGTATTCAATGAAAAAGTCGTCAAGTTGGCTTTGCCTTTATGTAAGTTGTCCACAAATTTCTCTACATAAAACAGCGGCATTTTTTTTTTAAGTTTATCATCATCGTCCTTTTTAAAACTTTGGTGAAATTGTTCGTCACGTATTTTTAAAAATCAATTTCTCAATTATTTATAGAAATTTCGGAATGCGGTTGTCACCACTAATTAGAGCCTGTAAAATTCTGCACGTTAAGTGGAAAACATTGTCGATTTCTTTTGTTGAAAATGAGATACAGCAGAAACAGCTTCTTCGACAAACGCTTTCTAACAAAAAAAATGACAATGTTTCCCGGGTAACCTATAGAGTAGTATAAGCTGAAAAGAGTGGTCAAAATTGCGTTACAAAATTTCCATAAATAATCGAGATATTGATTTTTAAAGTGAGTTTTAACGTAAAAATTTTACGTGATGAAAAATGTCATCAAAATGCTAAAAAGAAGATGACGATAGAGTGTTTAAAAAAACTGCTCGTGCGTTATATAGCGAAAGGTGTGGACAGGTTATATTTACTGTTAATAATGAAGATATTACATTCTGAAAATATACTAAAAAATGAAAGTTTAGTGAAATAAAGCACCTCCACTATATTTTATAATTAACAAAATCTGTTTCAGCATATATTCGAACTGTCGTATAATAGTGGTAGTTTTTGATTTCACTCGTTTTTCATTTTTTTATGTTTATAAATTTTATTTTATTTTTTTATTAACTGAAAGTGAAATAAAAATGTATACGTGTTGTATTGTAATCAAGATTTAACAGTCTACCACAATCCGTGGAAAAGTATATGTATAAGTTGCAGTTTAAAAAAATATAGGTTTGCCTCATATTTGCAATGTGCGAAATTGAGCTTCTTTCTTCAAGCTAAAGGCAAAGGAGTTTACAGAAATTCAATATATTCTCTATCCGTTCTCAAGATATTAGGTCGCAGAGTTTTAACTGGGACACCTGTATATCGAATACGTTAAGATTTTATTTATTTTTTGTTCAAAGCACAAAAAATAGTGATTATAGTAATTTGTAATTACATTATTTTGACGGTATTTCAAACAAGAAAATTGCTTTCAAAGTAACATTGATTAGCCCTATGATTTTTTTTAATTTGGCATAAGGGGAGGCCCTGGAAACAAAAGATGTGCATACTTTAATTATTTTTTATATAAATTTCACTGTCATTGCCACAAATTGAGGCTAAACTAATTAAACTACGTCCTACGTCTTTCACATTTTTTGTTTCCAACATCTTCCCTTACGTACACTTTAAAAATCGTTTTAATTTTTCAGCGTATTGTTGGTTGCATATGCTTTTATTTTAAAGTGCGGTGTATAACTTGGCAACGTCGGTAACTGTTGGTATATTTAACGCTTCCTCTCTGTGTCAGTAGCTGCTAGAGATGTAAAAACCGTTTTTTATTAATTTTTTTTTCAAAAACGGCTTTTTTGTTTTTTTTTGTTGTTACAAAGATTTAACAGTTTTATTAAATAAGCAGCTAAAACACACTTTTTCCGTAAATTAGCAAGTTTTTGTTATTTAATAGAGTCTCGAGTAGTTGTTATCTTCTTAACACGTTTATTAGGCTCACTCATGTCAAAATTGACAGCTGTGAACTAACATACTAGCATTACTGCCAATAATTCAGAATTGCCAATACAAAAATTCGCTCCAATCATTAATAATCACCCTGTATTGTAAGCCAAATTCTCTTAAACAGTACATGTTTAACATAACTTTGAAAATTATACACATATATGTTTTAAACATTTTAGATGATCTCATCAACTTTTCGGCGGGAAGATTCTGTACTCTTTAATGTTAGTGCCTTTGGAAAATTTCAAAGAAATTTTCGGAGATGATACATTTTATTTTTTAAAGTAGGTAGTTTTGTGAATTTTATTCTACCTCATAAAATTGTATTGACAATAACGAGACGGACAATGGTAAGAAATATTTACGGCTCACACTAGTTCACCCGAATTTATAGGAGAACATTTAGCACATAATTGTACTCATCAAATGATGGTGATTTTCGTTCGTGAGTAACGATGATCCCTGTCTGGCCCTGGATTATTTTGCTTTGTAACATTTGAGGATTACCGGCGCGCGACAACTTTAAGTTGTAAACTACTATCCGTCTCATTATAGCCAATAAAATTTTACAGGATAGAATGAAATTTCCAGAACTATAAAAGAGCATGTCAGTCGGCATATTTCAATTGAGATTTGTTAAAAATTTAATGTTGACGTCATCAGTTTTTTGAAGTGGATGAAGAAACAAAATACTGTTTTACCGTTTGTTGTTCTATAATTTTGGAGAGTACCTACTCAGTAAAATAACTGCCAACAAATAAAAAACAATGTTGTTTGGATTCTTTTCTTATCGTTTTTCTTTTTTGAAAGGTGGTATTTTCTAACACAAAAGCACATAACTGAAGAAGAATTAGTCCTTCGTAAGATAAGACTGATTTTGGCAAATAACATACCCGCTAAGAAAATAAAGGGCGGGTGGGCGGGGATAGTATTTGCTGAGATAAGACTGATTTTGGCGAATGACATAGATTCCAAAAAAATAAAGGGCGGGTGGGTGGGGCTAGTACTTGCTGAGATAAGAGTGATTTTGGCCAATGACATACCCTCTAAAAAAATAAAGGGCGGGTGGGCGGGGCTAGTACTTGGTAAGATAAGACTGATTTTGGCAAATGATTTATCCTCTAAGAAAATAAAGAATGAGAGGGTTAGTATTACCAAGATAAGACTGAATAATAAGAATTTTTCCAAAAAATTTTCCAATATAAACTGGTTACGTTTTGTAGTTAAACCTGTTCAAATAAATTTAAATCTATATATTTTATTACAAATTTTTTAAGTAACCAAAAATAATAAAAAATGAATTCAATTTCTGGTGAAACTTGAACTGTTATATACTCGTATGACACTTCTAACTAGATTTTGTATTATTCTTTCAGGCGCGGATACAGGATTTCGTTTAGGGGGGGGGGGGCAATTTTTGTGGGATTTTACCTATCCCCCAGAAATTCGTTCTAAACAAAAAAATTTATAAAATTTTAGCTAGTATACTCTTTTTCACATAACATGGTTGACATTTAGTTGTTTTCCTTACACGTATAGTGTACAGTAGAACCTCGATAATCCTAATAATTGGGAAAAAGTGTGTTCGGATTAACGATTTGTTCGGATCAGCGATTTTTCCAAAAATCTGAAAGGGAATTGAATAACAGCTTCATACACAACTGAAAACAAATTTCAAGAAATAAACTTAAATTTTATTAAACAAAATTAAAGAATTCTTAAGCAACAATGGATAATAATATACATACTTTCTAAAAAATATTACTCCGTGACCATAAACACGTAATTTTTTTGGAATAAACACGACGGGATCTAAACCCTGAATTTCTTCAGAATGTTTAGATGAATTTTTCAAAAAGGAAATTTTCCATTATGTATTCGTATTACCTCCATTATGCAAATTTCGACCCATTCTCGACGATTTTCGCAATTTAACTAAATACGTTTTCTTGTAGATTTTCGGCCTCAGAAGTCACTTTGGCTTCATTTCTTCAATAACTTAAGCCATTTTTCCAGAATCGTCCAGTTCAAATATCGCAATTTTTAAACATTTCGAAAAATTCGAATTTTAAAGCGAATTTTCCGAAAATATTGCTCCGTTACCATAAACATGCTATATTTCTGGAATCAGCACGTTGGAATATATATCCCTGAATTTTTTCAGAATTTTTAGGAAATTTTTTCAAAAATGAAATTTTCCTCATGCAAATTTCGAGCCATTTTCGACGATTTTCGAAACTTAACTAAATATTTTCTCTTATAGATTTCGGGTCTCATTTTTTCGATAACTTCAACCTTTTTTCCAGAATTAGTTAATTAATTCAGTGCATTGAAATAGCGCAATTTTTAAAATTTCAAAATATTCCATACAACATGTGCAGAAAGATCTTGCGTCATTTTTTCCAGTGGGTGCATGTTTTCAAGTTCAGTTCGGATTGCAGAGTTTTTGTTCGGATTAAAGAGGTATCGACTTCAAATAGCCTCGGTCCGGATTACTGGATGTTCAGATAATCGTGAGTTCGGATTATAGAGATTGTACTGTAATTACAAAATGAAATGCGATTTCAAAATTTTGAAATTGGTCAAAATAAAGTACCTCGATCGTGTGTCAGGGGGGGGGGGCAATTGCACCCATTGCCCCCCCCCCTCCTGGATCCGCGCCTGAATTCTTTAGACAACCTTTCATTCAGGTAAAGCTTGGTAATTTTCCCAGATCTCTTGAGAAGAAACACGCTATACCGGGTGTCTGGAAAATGGCGGATTAACTCTCCGCTATGCTCTTATAGTAATCACTGGTATGTTTAACAACTAAACAACACATTCATTATCACATTTTCGGATAAATTTAAAGAAATCTAGTCTTTTGTTGCTGGATGAATCTGAAAAAATCTTTTAAGCTTTTAGTGTTTTATTTTTTACGAATTTGAAAGTTTTGGATGGCATTGTTTGGGAGCCCATGTGTGTTATTTTGGGAGCCAATGAAGATTTTTTTTTGTAAATTATTTCTAAAAATTTTTGGGGGACTTTGGTATTCTATTTTTGGAAAATTCTGACCTGATTTGTTTTTGAGTTAATTTTGGGAACCGGTTTTTTTTTTAGAAAATTTAAAACAATCTTGAAGTTCTAGGTATTCCTGTTTGGAAAAAATTGGAAAGTGCTTTGGAACCTCTAGTTTTTTCTTATAATAATTTAGTTAGCAGGTAGATACTAACCCCATCCGTCCGCCCTCGATTTTCTTAGAGAATATGTCTTTAGCCAAAAATCAGTTTTAACAGGTACTTGCCCCACCCACCCGCCCTCTCTTTTCTTAGAGGGTAGTCATTTGCCAAAATCAGTTTTATCTTAGCAGATATTAACCCCGCCCACCCACCCTCTCTTTTCTTGAGAGCATGTTATTTGCCAAAATCAGTTTTATCTTAGCAGGTACTAATCCCCCCCACCCGCCCGCTCTTTTCTTAGAGAATATCTCATTTGCCAAAATTAGTCTTATCTTAACAGCTACTAGCCCGCCCACCCACCCTCTCTTTCTTAGAAGATATGTCATTTGCCAAAATCAGTTTTATCTTAGCAAGTACTGATGATTAAATTTTACAGAAAATGATCAAAATTTGGAAACATTACGAGCTTACTTATATGCACAAGGCAGAAATTTTGAACATCTCTAGTGTTTAGTTGGTTATGTTTTAATGGATTTTTCTTTTGTTGCTTTACCAAAACATCAGAAAACACACATTAGGTGCGTGCAGTGTTTCCAGTTTTACTTTTATAAAATTACGTTTTATTCATAATCAACATCATAAAGAATGTTTTTATTATTTTTTTGAGACTCCTGAAACCCTCATACATAACGTGCTAAAGAGTTAATCTACCATTTTCCAGACACCCGGTATATACATATATAGGTAATTAATTATTTTTTTGACAGTCGTATAACTTATAAGTAAAAAGTGCCTGTATTGTATTGAAAAAAAAAAAACACATTGAAAAGTGGAACTGTGTGTGCTTATAACATTTTTGATTCTACTTTGTAACGACACCCAGCCTTTCATTATAATTAACTTTTATGGTGTACCAACATCTCAGCTAATAAAGAAGCTATAACCTGAGAAATAAAGTCTGGCATACCCAGTATGCTATTTTTGCCGCAGTAATCACACTAAAAATAAAATTTTTATAGAAACATGAAACATTAAATTTGCAAAATTTTTGAAGAAAATTTATTTTTCTCTCTAGATATAATATATATTTTAAAATTCCTCTAATAAGTATCGTACATGTAAATATGAAAAATTAGGGTTCCCTTTTGTTTCTATCTGTAGATTGTTAACTATTTTATAAATTATGGATAATCCCCGAAACTACTGAATCGATTACTCTGAAATTTTAAGCTTACCGTATAAATGGCAAAATCTATATAAAATACAGATTACAATACATTAAAAATGGCGGTTCATGGCAAGTGAATTAAATGAGTATTTGATTGGCTGCATTTGATCACGTGATCGGTTAATTACGTCATTAAATTAATGCAGTGATTAAATGCTCGTGTACATCAGGTTTTAATTTTTAGTTTTTAGAATCGTTGACAAGATGACAAGGCATATTTGTCGAAGTAAATGAATGACGGTTTGTCACCCTAATAATTGTCGGAAAATTCAAAGGAACACCGCAACATTTCGATTAGTTTTTACGCCGTACTTACCAAAGTTAATATAGGTATTGATCTGTCACAAAGTTGATGACGTCATCTCAATAAATCGTCATTGAAAAATATGCATCTGTGCATGACGTGTCGTCGTGTTTCAGACGAGGAAGAAAGTCTTAGTAAACAACCCTTTATTTAAGGTAACGATATTATATTTTTTGGAAAGCAAATATTTCTGCTTGATTTTTCCAGTGTACAGTGAATTAATTACCAGAGAACGGTCATTATCGACAGTTACTTGAGCAACTTACCATTAACATGTTTTCAGTAATTATTTTTTGAACAATTGTTTTAATATTAGACGTACTTGTAGTTCAAAATATAAAAAAGTCGTAAATATTCTTTGGCATGGGATGACTACTATGATTAACTAATTTGCCTTCTATGTGTACACATATTAAGACTCTTGTCCGGCCATAATCTACAAAAACATAAAAATACATACTTCCAATGTAGGGATTCATACCGCTCTCCCGCCTAACAATGATAGAGGGATAGCCAATGGCGTAGATTATCCCCCCGTCCAAGAATGTAGAGTGTGGGGCAATCACTAAAATGGGTGCTTCATTTCGGCTGGCTTGTTTACCTTTGACAACCACACTCATCCCTCCGATTCGGTACACGCTCTGACCCAAAAAGCACAGTATGGAAGTCAACTTCCTACCATCCAAAAATAAACACATTACAATTTTTACCTCGTCGTCGAATGAGGGTTAGTTTGATGAAACTGTGTGAAAGAATGAGGCACCCACACCCACCGAACCCATAGAAAGCAAAGTTAGTTTGGCGAGTAAATTTACAAACTTAGAAACTAAAAATTATGGGAAGGTTAATGTTAGTGTTAAAGTTACATACTCCCGAAGAAAGGTATAGATGCAGTTTCTCCTTTCGCCACTATGGAAGGCCCTCCCATATACACCATGGCGATGCTATCCATAAAGGAAGAATGAGGTGCTAAAGCTACTACCGGTGCTGATGTACGATCCGACTGTTTTCCAATCACCCGGAGTCGGAAGCCTCCGGCGGTGAACAAGCACCGGATCATTTTAGCAGATAGTCGACGTACTATACTGTCCAAGGAGCAAAAGAGGAATTAATATAGCGGCAAGAATGCCGGACTAATTGTTAATAGAAAGTAACTGCTATTCTAAGTAAACAGAACTTCTAAAAAAGAAATATGCACAATAATACAGAGTTGGCTTTAAATTTTACTTTTCTTTGTTCAAAAACTTCTCAGTGAAAAACACAGTGCGTGTTTTTACGTTATCCCGTATTTTCAGTGATGCCAGATGCGACGTTATCATAGCCAACCCCGAATCATTGATTTCGATCGTGTGTGTTTTATTAGAATGTGTGTTGTAGTAGTGAAATGTTTACGACAAACACGACGCATTGCAGCCAGAAAGTCATCAGTCAGGATGATCAGATGTTGGATATGTTCCAATCCAATTTATTATGTAAATACATTCCGATAGTTTATCGATGTGCTCGTTCTAGCAAATTACAGGAAGTAACGATCGAAAGGTTCTTATTGGTTTTTCGACAGGGTGGTGATCGTTGTGTTTTGTGTTGTGACTTTCCAGCAAAATGGGTTTGGTATTTTTAGATACTGTAATTATCTGAGATATCAGGCACGAGAAATAGCGTGTAAAAAAATTGCTCCATATTAATACATTGACATTTTACTTTTATTAAAAGGAAAATAAATTAGACAGATTGTCATTTTTTTGTTTTAAATAAATTATGAGACATTTATATTCAAAATCTTCTTTAAAAACCGAGAGAAATTGCGATTTTAGTGAAAGTGATTTGTGACCAAGAGCAGTTTAAGCTGAATTTAGAATTTTGTTCGTTGTTTTTTTGTTTTTAGGACGTTGACTTTTTGATGTTTTAATTCCCTTTTCACTAATTTTTAAACTGTACGCTTCTTTATCTTTTTTACTTCTCGAGCGTAAGCTAAGGAAGTATTGTAAGTCCATCGGTCGACTTCTTTTCTTGTCATTTCTTAACCCCGAAAGTAGGAAGAAATAGGTCCCTCGTTTCCGTCTGTCTTTTAAGACTATCATGTCGATATTAATTATTCCCAAATTTACAATAGTATAATTTGGTATATAATATAATTATTTTTATAAAATAAGATACACCTGTACTTGTAGTGTATGAATCCCTGGAGTATTCACCCTTCACATCCCGATTTTTGGAAAAATAATTTAAGATTGTATAACAACATTTTGCAATTTAATTTTGAAAAAATTGAAGACGTCATTTCAAAATTTTGCCGAATAAATTCTCTCTGAAATATGAAAATATTGTGATTTTATACTTGTGGTTTATCAAAGTACTAATAGTTTTTAGAATACACGGTGAGTCAAAAAAATTAACGAATGAGGCAGTTTATTGCATCAAATCTTATAATTTTTCGAAAAATCGGGATTTATTTACCTTGGACCAATTTTTTGTGATCATAATTGTTTATTTTTTCATTTTCTTTAATTTCACCATTTTTTAATGTTTCTGTTTCATAATTTTTCCTTTTTGAAAGCTCAATTTTATCAATTTTTCAATTTCTCGAATTCCAAATTTTTCAATTTTGCAATTCGTTTCCTCAATTTTCCCAATTCTTGATTTTATTTTTCAATGTTTCTTTTGATTTTATAATTTTTCGTTTATTTAATTCTTGAAATTTTTATTCTTTGATTTTTCAATCCCTCGATTTTCTTATTTTTCAAAGTTTTCAATTTTGCAATTTTTGAATTTTTCAATTATCCGATTTTCCGATTTATTTAATCTTCAATATTTCCACTTTAAAATAATTCGCTTTTTCGATTTTGCACGTTTTCGAATTTTAAGTTTCTCACTTTTTAATTTTTCGTTTCTTCAATTTTTCAAATTTTCATTTTATACTTTTTGGTTTTCTTTTGGTTTTTCAGTTTTACAGTTTTGCAATTTTTCCATTTTTTTCATTCTAAAAGTTGAAAAAGCGGAAAACTTAAAACAAAAAATGCAAATCAAAGAACTTAGAAGAACCAAAATCGAAACGTTGAAAACCTGAAAATTGAGAAACTTAAAAATCGAAGAAAAATTAATGAATCGAAAAATTGAAAAACCCAAGAATTGTAAAATCGAAAAATTATCCAATATCAAATTGGAAAACCCAAAACCTGAAAAATTAAATATCCAGAAATTGAAAAAAAAAAATCTAAAATCTTAAAACTGAAAAAGTGAAAAATTTTAAAAACTGTAATTATTATTTCATATTTAAAATGAAAACTAGAAAAATTGCAAATCAAAAATTGGAGAGACGAAAGACTGAAAAATCGAGAAACTGAAAAATCTAAAAATGGAAAAACGAAAAATTAAAAAATCTGAAAGTTGAAAAATCGAACAATTCCAAATTGAAAAACTGACAAATAGAAGAAATGAAGAAAATAAAAAACCGAAACGAAAAACTGCAAATCGAACAATTGAAGGAACGAAAAATTCAAAAAACTGAAATTGAAAAAACAAAAAATTATAAAATCGGAACATCGAAAAATCGAAAAATTTTAAAAATAAAGAAAACGGAAACCAAAAGGTGCAAATCGATGATCTGAAGAAATGAAAAATTAAAGAATCGAAACAGTGAAATATTAAAAATTGAAAACTCGAGAAATTTAATTAGAAAAATTGCAAAATCTAAAAACTGAAGGAACGAAAAACTAAAAAATTGTAAAATCGCAAATCGAAAAATTATAGAAACGAAAAACTGAAAAAAAATCGGATAATTGAAAAAATAAAGACAATAAACAACCGAAACGAAGAATTGCAAATCGAAAAATTGAAAAATTAATACTTTAAAGCTCGAAACTCAAATCGAAATATTGGAAAGTATAAAATTTTTTTTCAAGAGTTGTAAAATCGAAAAACTGAAAAAACGCAAAACTGCAAAATCGAAAAATTGCAAATCAAAAAACTGAAGAAACGAAAATCGAAAAGTTATCGAATGTCAAAATTGTAAAGTCGAATAAAACTGAAGATTGAGAGATTGAAAAACTGAAAAATTAAATATCGAGAAAAATTAAAAATCGAAAACATATATGAGAAAGTCTTAAAATCCAATATTTGAAAAATGGAAAAAATTCTAAAATCGTCAAGTTGAGAAAGGGATAAATTTTAAAAATTATAATAATTATTACAAATTTAAAATGAAACCTAGAAAAATTGCAAATAAAAAATTGGAGAAACCAAAAATTGCAAAATCGGGAAACAGAAAAATTTAAAAGTTGAAAAAATAAAGAAAATAAAAAACCGAAAAGAAAATTGCAAATCGAGAAATTGAGGAAACGAAAAATTAAAAAAAATTGAAATTGGAAAAGCAAAAAAAATCGGAACATCGAAAAACCGAAAAATTTTAAGAAATCAAGAAAAATCGAGACCAAAAGTTCTAAATCGATGATTTTGAGAAATGAAAAAATTGAAAAATTAAAAATTGTAAACTCGAGAAATTTTAAATAGACAAATTGCAAAATCTAAAAATTGAAGAAATATAAGACTGAAAAATTGCAAAGTCGCAAATCGAAAAGTTAAAGAAACGAAAAACGGAAAAAAAGTTATAAAATGGAAACATTGCAAAATCGAATTACTGAAAAAATAAAGACAAAAAACTAAAACGAAGAATTGCAAATCGAAAAATCGAAAAATTTAAAACTCGAAGAACTCAAATCGAAATGTTGCAAACTCTAAAATATGAAACATTCAAAAGTGGTAAAATCGAAAAATTGTAAAAAAAACTCAAAATTGCAAAATCGAAAAAGCGGAAAATCGAAAAATTGCAAATCAAAGAACTGGAAAAGCGAAAATCGAAACATTGAAAAACTAGAAGTCGAGAAACTTAAAAGTTGTAAAACCCAAAAATTGTAAGACCGAAAAATTATCGAATGTCAAAATTATAAAGTCGAAAAACTGAAGATTGAGAGATTGAAAAACTCAAAAATTAATTATCTAGGAATTGAAAAATTAAAAATCGACTAATGAAAATGATTTAAAATTCAGTCATTGAAAAATGAAAAAAAAGTGAAAAATTTTATTTCATATTTAAAATGAAAACTAGAAAAATTGAAAAATCTAAAACTGAAAAAACGGAAAATTAAAAAATCTCAAAGGTGCAAAATCGAAAAATTGAAAACCTGAAAAATTGAACAAAATAAAGAAAATAAAAAACCGAAACGAAAAATTGCAAACAGAAAAATTGAAGAAACGAAAATTTCAAAAAATTGAAATCAAAAAAGCAAAAAATTATAAAATCGGAACATCAAAAAATTTTAAAAATCAAGAAAAACCGACACCAAAAATTGCAAATCGATGATTTTAAAAAATGAAAAATTGAAGAATCGAAAAATTGAAAACTTAAAAATTGACAACTCGAGAAATTTTAAGTGGACAAATCTAAAAATCTAAAAATTGAAGAAACAAAAAACTGAAAAATTGGAAAATCGCAAATCGAAAAATAAAAGAAACGAAAAATTGAAAAAAACAAAAGGTTATAAAATCGAAACAACAAAAAACCGAAACGAAGAATTACAATTCGAAGAACTGGAGAATTGAAAAATTCTGACTTGAATTTTTTTGACTTAAAATCGGCAGCAAAAAATATTTTTAGAAAAAAAGCGGGATTTACAGGG